TAAATATCGATTCATGTAAACAAAATAATGTTGTCATACTTTAATCACGGATACAGTAGATTAAAGATAGACAATCGAATTTCTTCAGGCGTTAATTAACTTTGTAACATTCAAGAAAGAAAACAAAAGCTTAATTGAAGTGTTGCATAATTAGTTCATTATTCTTAATGTGAGAGTATCATATAAAATAATGTGCATTGTGCAATTACATTANTAAATATCGATTCATGTAAACAAAATAATGTTGTCATACTTTAATCACGGATACAGTAGATTAAAGATAGACAATCGAATTTCTTCAGGCGTTAATTAACTTTGTAACATTCAAGAAAGAAAACAAAAGCTTAATTGAAGTGTTGCATAATTAGTTCATTATTCTTAATGTGAGAGTATCATATAAAATAATGTGCATTGTGCAATTACATTACAATGTAACTAATTAAAGTTTGCTCTGTTGGAAAGGGTACAGTATATTTTCTTCTGATTGGAAAGCGCCTTAACGTGTATAAAATATAACCTAGTTTTTATTTAAGTTGTAGAAAAACGTGTTTAATTTCAGTTTTAACGGTCATTGCCTTGTGAACATTTGTTAATACTATTAAGAGGTATATATAAAACAATTATTGTCATGTCGACCAAATATGAAAGAGGCCAATTCAGTGATGCTGAGGAGAACGAAATACCGTATGTATATTATTTATTTATATTCTATTAATAATACATATTCTTATTACTTATATTCTCTTATTATAGACGACAAGAATGTAAAGGGCAGCCTCTATTTTGTAATGATCTATCTAAAAATATAGATAAATTACATATATCAAATAATATGGAAGAACAATTAGAAGATGATAATGATGTCGATTTGGATGATGATACACTTGCCTGGGATATAGATGAGAGCAGGAAAGATTTTGTAAAGAATACTCAAACTAAAAATTTTAACGCCCAAAATGTTTCCCATAAGATTACAAATTATCAGCCGTCAGATAAATTGTTTCGTCGTTACGCAAATAAAATTAGTATTGAAAAATATGAAGGGCCATCATTACCAGGACATGCTGCCAATCTTTTAATTGAGAGTGGTAAACGTGCAGAAAAAGATAGACTTAGAAATAAAGACAAACACGATCGTGCAACTGTTGAGCAAGTTCTGGATCCTAGAACAAGGATGATATTATTTAAGCTTTTGAATCAGGGCATAATTGCAGAAATTAATGGATGTATTTCAACAGGAAAAGAAGCTAATGTTTATCATGCAACTTCGAAGACAGGAATAGAATTTGCAATAAAAATATATAAAACATCAATTTTACAATTTAAAGATAGGGACAAATATGTTACTGGTGAATTTCGGTTTCGTCACGGATATTGCAGACACAATCCGCGTAAAATGGTACGAACGTGGGCTGAGAAAGAATTTCGAAATTTAACACGTCTGCACCAGGGAGGTGTTAATGCTCCAAAACCAATATTATTGCGTAGTCATGTGCTGCTCATGGAATTTATAGGTACAAATGGTTGGCCATCGCCAAAATTAAAGGATGTAGTCTTTACATCCTCAAAACCAAGGATAATATACAGAGAGTGCATTGAGATAATGTGGAAATTGTATAATAAATGCAAGCTTGTTCATGCTGACTTGAGTGAATACAATATGCTGTATCATAATGGATCTATAGTAATAATAGATGTGTCTCAGGCGGTTGAACATGATCACCCTATGGCATTTGAGTTTCTTAGAAAGGACTGTACAAATATAACTGGTACATTAGCATAAAGATTTTTTAAAGTCTGGAAGATACACATAATTCTTTAGGATTAAATGATTAAAATTGTACTTCTAGAATTTTTTAAGAAGAATGAAGTAGGTGTGATGAATGTCAGGGCATTATTTGACTTCATAACAGATCCAACAGTAACAGAAGAGAATATGGATAGTTATTTAGACAAAATATCAGAGCAAATGGTACAAAGTAATGACCAAGAGATTGATCCTACACAGCAAATCGAAGAACAAGTATTTAAACAAGCATATATTCCGCAAAATTTAGCTCAGGTAATGTTGGAGAACAATACAACGCCCATATCCATATTAAATGGTATATGCGGACTTGTATCTGCATATTAATTTTCACAGGTGTATGATTTTAATATAAATGTGTTTAGGTCATTGATATTGAACGTGATATAAAACTTGCTAAATCTGGAAAGCAAGACTTGATATATAAAACCCTTGTTGGTTTAAAAGCAGACTTGTCCAAGCCTCTTAATACTCCGGAAATTCTCAGCAAAGAAACCAACAATGACGAGGAAAAGTCCGATCTTTCAGAAGAGATCGATAATTCCGAAGAGGATGATGAAGACACCCAAGAAGAAAACACAGAAGAAAGCAAAACAAAATTTGTGATTTCGACTCGGCCACGACGTGAGAGCCCAGAAAGCAAAAAAGTAATATTCTGTTTACAGTTATTGTGAAGTACACATTGAGATTTCGTAGAACAGGCATCCAAGAGATTTTCGTTTCAGGCACGGAAGAAGGCAATAAAGGAACAGCAAGCAGAAAAAAGGAAAAGTAAAATAAAGAAACATATCAAAAAACGAAAAGAGAAGGTTCTAAAGAAAAAGTAATAGTTCTTATTATTAGGACAGAAATATTTTTAAACATGTAATAAAAACAGATTGTAAAGAGTAATATTTAATTTGTTTTTCTGTATTTAATAAAGTATCTTTTCCTTACATATATAAATACATATTTTACAATATTACGATTCCATTCTACCATTCAGTCACAATTAAATTTAAATGGGCCGCCATCTATTAAATCACGAATGAAATGTAAACACTGCACATACATACATAAAATACACCATTCGTTTGTAAGCGAATTTTTTATTTATACTATCATGGATTTTTCAAGTGTTTTTTCGAAAACTGCATTTGAAGAAATGGAATTAAAAGACGATTATTTTGGTAATATTACAGGAGACTCCGCTGTTTTTTATTTGATCCTCTTTGTTATGTATGTATTTCTAACGAACTTATGTATTATAATACCAGAAAGTGCCAAAGTACTGAAGGAACGTGAAAAATTTCTGACGACCGGCTGCTCAAAATTTGATTCAATGCTTCATGGTGGTATTGCTGCACGTGGGATTACACAAATTTATGGTGCAGCTAATACAGGAAAAACTCAACTGGCTTTGCAACTAAGTTTAACAGTGCAATTACCAGTATCAGAGAAAGGTTTTGCAGCTGGTATTCTTTAATTCACATATTTCGAAAACATATAGTTATATTAATTTCAGAGGTACACAGTTTTGAATTTAATGGTTGACACAGGTGCTGTGTACATTTGTACAGAATCAATTTTTCCATCAAGACGGTTGCAACAGTTAATAGGACAAATAGAAGTAATTAAACACCATGGAATAAATGGTGACTTAATCTTTGTGGAACATGTTTCAACAACTGTAAATATTTTGTAATTCCTCGAATAATTACAGATGTATTTTATAATGTACTATACTTCTCATATTTACAGGAAGAACTAGAAATATGTTTACTTCAGAGAGTACCTATATTAATGTCTGCACAAAAGATAGGATTAATAATTGTAGATTCAATTGCTGCACCATTTAGGGTAGAAGATTGGAAAGATGAGTCTAACAGTAGAGCAAAACGATTAAGAACGATTGGTCAACAATTGCACAAGCTGTATAAAGATGATATTTGTATAGTTTGTATCAATCAGGTAAAGTAGTGTCTGTAGAATTATATTGTACAATAGCAAAGTCTTTAGAAGTCATATAAGAAATTGATTTATAGGTAACAGCAGCAGTTAATGATCATATATTAAATGATAAATCGAATGAGCGGCCAGCTTTAGGACTAACATGGTTGAGCATGATAACTAGTTCTATATATTTGTATAGAATAGACTCTTCGAGGTATGCCTGTGTCAAATCATCAAGTTTGCCAGAAATAGCTATCCCATTTAAAGTACAAGGATCTGGAGTTACAGCAGTGGTATAAGTAATATAAAACAAACTATAAAACAATTTGTAGTTTTATTGCATAAGATTATGAATCTCAAAAAATATGCTCTCATCTAAAATTCTAGCAACATTTGTTGGTGACCATTGGTTTCTTGAGTCAGAAGCTTGAAATGGATCTCTACTCTTTACATCTAAGTTTTCAACATCATTATTTAGTATCAACCTTAAAGAAGAAACAGATATCATTGCTGACAATACATTATGTGAAACAAATGTGTAAATCATAATACCTGAAGGAATGTAGAAATGTTCTATAAGGTTCTATATCTTTTCTTTCGCTATAAGTATAGTCTCCTATCACTGTATGACCAATATATGAACAATGTACTCTTAATTGGTGGCGCCTACCAGTCTCTGGGCATAATAGCACTTTAGTGGCTGGTTTTCCATTTCTGAAACCACGTTCTAATACAATAAGTATTGTACAAGATTTACGTGGTTTTTCACAATAATCATTATCATTAATGCACATCTTATGATTTCCCATTTTTTCCCTAACATCAACTCCTAATTAAAAAACATAATTTCGAATGATTCATGAAGAGAGTTATTCAAAAATTTTGTTATCAAATTACTAACCAATTGCTTTGTCTATAATAAGATGAGGTTCATTAATATGGCCATGAAGCAATGCTAAATAAAATTTTTTTGCTGTTCGTGTTTCAAATGCATTAGAAGCAGCTCGCGCTGCCTTTTTATTTAATGCTACGCATATAATACCACTGGTCACATAATCCAATCTATGTACAAAATGAAATTCATGGAATAAGCTTGGATTAGCCAGATTTGGTAAAATTTTTTTTATTTCACACTGAAGCGTGTTCTAAAATTTTAAATATGTATTACTGAAACCAGTTTCCTTCATGTACACAAATGCCTATCAGCTATCATACCTTTTTCTCAGGATTATTACTATTGATATACATATCGTATGGTTTAGATACTACCAAAAAATTTTCACTGTGATGCAATATATTTACATTGTTTTTGTGCCTACATTTTATGAATTCTTTGAAGTGTAATTTTAAACCATATAGTATCAATTGAGTTAATTTGACAATGAGCATGCTACAATTATATAGTATTTCATTTATATTCATATTGTGAAATATTGCTTTCCTATAAAATATTTAATTTAAAAAATTTCATATTCTACAGCATTTGCAATAAATCAAGATATGTACTGTATTTTCCAATGAAATTTATATGTTATGAGTAACGTTGTTCTCCGAAAAGTTTATGAAATGCAGTAAACAACAATAAATACCGGTTGCCATCTCTAGAATACCAGAAAATGTATTCTACGATTATGTTTTTGTAATGTTGTCTGTCTGTTTCATGTGTTTAAATTCTGTGCTCAATTTCGTGCGGTTGCGTCGAGTGATGTAACATTGATTTCCGATATGCAACAATGTTAACAATGTTTCCAACTTTCGGGTAATGCATTTAGTAAAAAGAGATTATGAGAAATTCATCGTGTAGCAATCAATTTCGTTCAAAATTTGATTGCAATTACATTTTAAAACGTATCTTAAATAATGTATAATGTAGAACGTAAGTTGGCACGCTTGATTTTGATGAGACCGTTTGAAAGAGAGATTGCAGTGCGGGGAAAGGCTTATCGTGGAGTTAGTACCATATAACGGTGTTTCAAATTTCAATTTAATCAGATACTGGGTGTTAATACGACACGTGATAATTGAAAAGGGCTTTGTATTCATCTACAAAAATGTTTCGTTCGAAGAAGGACGTCGACCGACACGTGAAAAACATTTTTATCAAGCTCAAAAATTCAGAGGAGGTAAGGTTATCTTTTTGACTAAAAAGTCGTTACTGCCAAACGTTGTCAGACATTGTCGTGAACTATGTTTTGTTCGATCGGCCACTGTTATTTTATGCAGAAATTTCATTGTTATTCTGAATGAAGCGTGTAGAAATATGAACACTCAGCACTTTGTATTTAATGTCAAGTATATTGTATGGCATTGAAGACCTTGACTAGCTTCTGTAGATAATGCGTATACGTATATGTATCAATATCTATGTATAGAAGCGGATTTAGCGGTTTTTAAAGAGATATAGTAATGTCTGTTTACTATTTTGCTTTCGATTCTCCTCTTTTGGCCATTTAATGCCCACCTATTTCTTAAAATTATCGTAATATTTCTGTTCATGTTGCCGGTCGGCCAAGAGCCTGTAAATTAAAATAGTTTGCGAATGATAACTGAAATTTTTGTTTTTTAACTTTACTAAACGTTATTTGCGAATAAAGTTATTCGTAAATTTATTTTCGTATTAAAAATTCTCAGTAATTTCATTAATAATATTATTGTAACAAATAAAAAATAATGTTAAAGATTAGAGTTACTCGTTACTACTAGTTATGTTACTCTATTAGTATATAGCTCTATAATTTTTATCGTGCATGTGATGATTTGATGTTATGTAACTTGGCTTTACACTAATTTATAGAAACATCTACGATGCTACAACATAGCCAAGCTATACTATCAAGTTGGAGATTATGAATCCGCTAAGAAATATGTTTCTAATTATTTGGAAATAAGGGACAAATGTGCTAGGGCTTATAAATTATTAGGTCAGACCCTCGAAGCTTTGGGGCAAAAGGAAGCGGCTTTCATGCAATATAAAACATCTCTTGAGTTAGAACCACAGCAAGATGATCTTGTTTTAAAAGGTACAACTTCTATTCTTGAATTTTTTTATTTATATATGTGAAAATTGTATATCTATTCTTTGTTTCATGGTATTGTTAGTTTGTGAACTTTTGACTGATGTGGATGTTAATATTGATGTGAATAGAATTAAGTATTGGGTGGATAGAGCTGATAAAAAGTTTCCACATAATCCAATAGTTTTTGAATTAAAGGAGAAAATGTTAACTTTGGAGAAACCAAGTGGCAACAGTGAAGATTTGGAGAAGCTCATTACCTGTATGTAATATATTTCTATTTTGTTCAATGTCAATGTATAACAATAACATTACTTTTTTAGCTGAATTGTCAGTACGACAAACAGATGTACATTTACAAGTCAAATTATTGAAACATTACCTAGGAAATCATAGGCTTGAAGATGCATATAATCATGCTGCCAAAATAGAATCAATGCACAGTCACAGGAACAGTGTTGTTTGGTATCAGTCATTAAGTGAATTACTTATGAAGTGCAAACAGAGCAAAAAATTAGATTGGGCATTTTGGATATTCTATATTAACGTATTAGAAAGATACGCAGCTCTTTGTTTGAAAGAACAAGGCAATCTTGTTAAGAAAAGTATATCAGATGCTACACAAGCAGTATTCAAGTAAGTATTCTTCGTACTAGGTGTTTTATAATTCATGATACAAATTGGGTCAAGTAGATTCTCTGACTGGAAATCAAACAAAAATCAAGAATAATAAAATTGTGTGGGAGGCTTCGTTCTGAGAAAATTAACTTTAAATATCAATCGCGTACATGCATCCTTAATAAATAACTGATGTCACGGATTTCACTACAGGCCGCTGTTGCGACCGTTTTTGTACATGCACAATATTTTTTTTATTCTCACGCGAGAAGAAGATATATGAGGGGGAATGTACAAAGGTGTCACACAAAGGTGTCTTCTTCTCGCTTGAGAACAATAAACAAAACAATCTGCGACATTGGTTATTCATTAAGGACACATACTACTCACTGCACTAATATTTAAATTTAATTTCCTCGAAAACGAAGCTCCACGCAATTGTGTTATTTTTGACTTTCATCTTATTTCCAGTCATAGAAACTGCTTGTCCTAATTTGTACTATGAATTATAAAATGTGTAAGTCACATTATTGAATGGTAATTGAATGATAATTTGTGTTGCAGCTTTGACCAATGTTTAACAGAGTTTAAATCAGCAAGTTTTTCTAATCATCCAGTTTTCGTAGAGAATATGTTATTACACATGTGGGGGCAATTACATTTTCATTTGGCTTGTTTATTTTTACGGAAAACCAAGGGAGGAGAGGACAGTTGGTCTGAAGCTGGACGTTTATGTGCACCTCTTTTATTAACTGCATTACACGTAACACCCATAGATCCTACAGCAGTGTGGAATATGCATTTGAAGGATCGTTTAAAGGACCAAGTACACGTCTGGTACAGAGAAGGATCTTACAGATGCAGTCAAGTGGGACACGTATTACAGGATTTCGCTCGAGATAATACGAAAAAGCTGCTTGATAAAATCGATAAGTTTTGCACGAATATGTGGCGCGAACGAGTTTATCAGAGAATTTTTATTGGCAGACTATACCAGGACGGTAAAATGACATCATATTTTGCAAAAAGTTCTCTTCCAAACCCACCGTTGCGCTTATGTTCCGACAGTGAGCTGAAACGATTCGATAAAATTTCGGAAGAAGTTTGGCCAGATTCGCTGCACCATCAGATCTGGCTTGGTTTGAGATCTCGGCCTTACAGTTCACAGAACAAAGGCAACGGACCTCTGCCGAATCAAACATCTCGTGTGTTCTGTGATCTACAGTTTTCTGTCTTCAACCTGAACCAGGCATCGCCAGATAGTTTAAGTCGCTTGGACATTGACGCCTTTTTAAACGCAGCCATTTTCTGCGCCTCTGCGGTGATGGAAGAACAGCAATTAAGCGGTTTCTTGAATCCAGAAAAATTACCTACCTTGCCAGCAGATCTCACGAACACTCTCTGCAGTTGCGCTCAGGAGAAATGGTGGTCGGCAGCTTACAAAGTATACTCGATGGACAAACAGAAACCATTGGAAGACGACCTCGGAGACATAAGATTAGAACTGCAGCGGGGTTTGGAAGTAGTTCGCTGTATTGGAAACCACGGGCTGCACCCAGCTCTTCTGGTTCATTTGGCACGGATATTTCTTTATAGAGTGGAAACCTTGAAGGAAACTAATCAAGAAAACAGCGAGATACCAAGCTTGGAGGCTCGTTCGGAAATGTACTGGTCAACTGCGATGCCGCTTTTAGAAAGACTGCAAAACAACCAGGTTCTGCGCGTTACGAACTCAAAATTCTTCAGTTACCAAGGGAAGGATTTGAACAACGCTGAACTAGTGAAGGCTTTGGAAGAGGGTAAACTGCGTTTGGCACAGCGTTTCGTGCGGGATAAACAATATGAGAAAGCGATCGATGCGTTGCAAGCACTGATATGTCCGGAGGCCTCGTTTCAGCAAGGTCAAATGTATGAAATGCTCGCAGACGAGATTGTTAACTCCATGCCCAAGGAGAGCTTAACGTCGGAAATCAGGTCACAGCACATCATCATGCTCTCAAAAGCTAGGGAATGCTTTTATCTAACATTGGATAGATTACGTAGTCCAGGAATGAACACGAAACATCCTTTGAATTTGGAACTTTTTGCTCATGTAACGGACATAGAAAACAAACTAAAGAGAATCGATCCAGACCTGGCTCGGGGCGATTTGAGCAGAAACGAGTGCGATGGGATGTCGGACGACAGTTATTCTTCTGCGCACAGTGGTTTGGAGCATCAAGTGTCAGTGAATCCGACGCTTCCAACGTTCACAGGACTCAGCGCGTCCGTGAACATGGTTAGCACGCCACAAAAGAATCCTCATCGCACCCCTAAACAGTCTAGCACTCCTTATAGGCCACAACACCAAGATATATTGGACTTATCACGGAATCGTACAGAGGCACGTCCGAGCCCCGAGCGTCTTGATGCTCAGATCCGAGCAATCAATCAGATGATCCACGCAAAAGATAGCATGATACAGTCAATAACGGAGCAGAACAAGACCATACTGGAGTTGAACAAGGCTATGATGGAGAAGCTCGAGGAACTGACGAAAGAGGTAGCGGACTTGCGGAAGGATATTCAGCAGCAGCGAATTCAGCCGATGAACTTGAATCCGAATTTAGAAGAAGACTTATGTGGGTTAAGTGAAGAAGACTTCAATGAACTGAATTATAACGCGAATACGTCGGGCCATGTGTCATCAATATCAGGAAACATGTTCCAGTCATCGCATAGGAACCCGTACTCGCAACTTATCTATCCTTCTGCGGCTACGGCTACCGCTTTTCAAGGCTATTTCCCAGGAGGCATGTCGTTTAGTGACCCGAACGCAGCTTCTTTCTGCACAAACATCTATCCTATGCCAGTGTTGTACCCCAATACCAGGACGAAAATGCCAGAGAACATTCTTCAGCAAGGCTTGTTCCCACCTGGGTTGCCGGCGCAAATTCCGGACTTGATGACACCGACAAACCAACCGATACAAATCTCTCTTCAGAAGGTCGAGACGCCGAAATCCGAGACCACAATAAAGGATGCTCCTGTCAACAAAGCACCGCCTGTTAACGTTGTTATTACCACTTCAGATACTTTGCCAACCACGGTGCCGGTGGTCCAGCCTACACTTAGCGTAACAATTCCTCCACATTTCAGACAAGGAAGCACAACCACGCTGGCCACCACGGAACAGTCCGTTGCTCCTCATTGTTACCAGATATCCATGCCTTCTCAAGCGACCGTGTTGACCACTGTAAACTTACCACCTTTATCGACGACTCTCACAACCACACCCGCCAATATTACCATGCCTACGACATCAAAGGCCACCGAAAATGCTAACATCTGCTCGACCGGTTCACCGAACATTTCTGATCAGGAGCCGGAGCACGAACACGACCCGATACCGGATTTCGTTCCTGTCATACCACTACCCGCGGAGGTCAAAGTTACCACTGGAGAAGAGGGTCAGGAAGTCTTGTTCTGTGCCAGAGCGAAGCTCTTCCGATTCGTTGATAACGAGTGGAAGGAACGTGGTATTGGTAACGTTAAGTTGCTCAGGAACAATGAAGGCAAAGTTCGGCTACTTATGCGTAGAGAACAGGTGCTGAAGGTGTGCGCTAATCACTACCTAGCGCCTGATATGCAACTGACGGCGAAAGCTAACAATGAGAAGGCATGGTTCTGGGCGGCGCATGACTTTGCGGACGGTGAACTCAAATTTGAGAAGTTCTGCATCAGGTTCAAAACGGTGGACGAAGGTCTATCCTTCAAAGAACACTTCGAGAAGGCCAAGGCAGGTCTTTCCCAGATCTTTGACAAATCTGTTGAGAACGAGGCAACTAGTGAAGCAGATACTGTGCCGAATAACGTTGAGAAAAAAGAGATCGTGGAACCAAAAGTAGCAGTACAGATCAGTCAGAAGCAGCCAGCGACTACAGTATCGGAAGTTACTTCAACGACTACACTCGTGGGCGGTTTTTCATTCATATCACCACCAATCATTCAGAAAGTAGCCAGCCCTGTGGAACAAGTGAAGGCACCCAGCAAGCCTGAGCCTTTCGCAGGATTCGTCTTCAGTAAAACAGGGACAACTACAGAGACTACTGCAGCAACACAACCATCTACTTTCTCGTTTGTGAAGGCTACAACACCTTCTAAATCAGAAACTACAACTACACCAATCGCTGTAACTGATACTGCAACGAACTCATCTCAGTCAACTCTCAGAAGGCCACATGGGTCATTGGCAACTATGACCAAGCTGGTGGGAGTTAAAAGTTCGGACGCAAAGATAGACCAAGAAGAAGTTCTATTCGAAGCTAAAGTATGTCTTCAGTGTTACAATAATGAGAGTAAACAATGGGATCAAAGAGGCACAGGACTGCTGAAGACCTTGTGGAGCACGAAGACTGGTAAGATTCGATTACTGATGATCGATGATGATACTTCGAAGGTCTGCTATAACTACAAAGTTCAAGCAAAGACGCCGTTCACGTTAAACACTACCAGTAACGCCATCGTCAGTTGGACCATTCATCATGGATCTGAAAACAAAGCAACTACATTCGCGGCCACGTTTAAGATGTCTACACGAGCTCCTTTATTCTATAGCATGATTGTGGAGAAACAACAGAAAATGGTGAAGGACAGCATCTCTACGTTCACGAAGCAGGAGGCCACTGAAAAAACGGCTAATAAAAATCAGTCCTCGTTATCTGAAATGTTCAGACCACCTATAGGATCCTGGGAGTGCCAAGATTGTTACATGTTGAACGGAGCATTTAATAGCGCGTGTTTAGCTTGCAAGGCACCCCGTCCTTCAGCAACCACTAATCAAGCTGTTCCAGCTACAACTACTGCAAACCAGGTGCCTCTTTCAGAGATGTTCAAGCCACCTACTGGTTCATGGGAATGCAAGGACTGTTACACGAGGAACGACTCATCCAGCGACGAATGTGTCGCTTGCAAGTCCACTAAACCTTCTGCAGTCATCAAGCAAACCACCCCAGTTGTAGTCAGCTCCAATCAAACACCATTGTCGGTGATGTTCAAGCTGCCTGCAGACTCATGGAAGTGTAAAACTTGCGAGGTCGTGAACACGTCTGGCAACAATTATTGCGTTGCTTGCGACACACCAAAGGATCCATCGATTCCACCGAAGCCGAAAACAGATGGTTTCATAATAAGCTCCTCTATCACCAGCGTCACACCCACGTTCACTTTCGGCATCTCGCAAGACACCAACAAGGACACTAGCGGTTTCAGTTTTCGATTACCCGCCTCCAACGATCCAGATGTAAAGTCTTCGGAATCAGAAGCTAAAATCGACACGTCCGGCGCGAAGTTTGTATTCGGGATGTCTCAAGCGTGCAGTACACCCTCGAACAAGGACACTCCGTTCACATTCGGCTCGCCCGGAATGTCTTTCGGCTTCAACTTCGTGGCAAAATCCCCGTCCAAGGCTGTCACAGACGGCGACAATAGTGAAGAGGAGGTGGTCGAAAGCGACGATATCCACTTCTTGCCGATAATCCCGATGCCGGATAAAATCGAAGTGAAAACTGGTGAGGAGGATGAAGACGTCCTCTATTGTCATAGGGCGAAGTTGTTTAGGCACGACAAGTCGGAGAACGAGTGGAAAGAGCGAGGTATAGGAGACATCAAACTGCTGCGGCATAAGGAGACCGGTAAACTGAGGCTGGTTATGAGAAGAGAACAGATTCTGAAACTCTGCTTGAACCACTTTGTGTTACCCAATCTGGAGTTCAAGCCGAAGGACGAGAAGACTTGGATGTGGATTGCAGCTGATTACAGCGAAGGAGAAATCGAGCACACGTTGTTTGCTTGTCGTTTTAAAACTCCGGATATTGCAAAGAATTTCAAAAATACAGTTGAGGACGCATTGGCTTGGAAAGATGTTCCAACGATTGAGCAAAAACTCGAGGTTACTTCAGATCCTAAAGAAGGCCAAGAGATAGAAATTGTCTATGAGATGAAAGTAACAGATGAAGATAGAGAAGCTGCGTTGAAATTACAGCTTCCGGAAAATTTCTATGCATACAAACGTAATCCCGATTGTTCTGGATGCAGGGGTTGTAAAGAACCTCCAGTACCCTTGTTCGACGTTGCAGTTACCGGGAAAGAATCATCAAAGACAATCACTAAGAGTGAGAATTCTTCAACTATAGCAACAACGACTGCTAGTTCTAATATCACAACTTCTCAGACTCTCGTTCCCACCACAACTGCGCAAAATACAACATCGTCCGTCTTCATGACTGGATTGTACGGTACAAGTACACCACTGTTCTCAATGAATTCACAGCTTCCATTTGGTAGTGGTAACTCTACTACTTCCAGCGACAAAAAGGCTAGCTTTTCGTTTGGATTATCACAGAATCAAACCAGTGAAATACAGAAACCTGAAGGCGATAAGCAAAATGTTCCCGGAATTGATAACTTGAATATTTGCAGTCCAACCAGCTCTCAGGCTACATCTGAAGCTCCGTCTTCATTCACTACAGCTGGGACCATCTTTGGTACATCTAAAATAGATAATATCTTTGGCATGAGCACGGGGAAAAACATGTTTGGTGGGTCGTCGAAGAAGGAGTCTGGACTCATCAAGCCTAGCACCTTTAACGTTAGCTCAGATAGGATAGAATCGGTATTTTCAAACAGTTTCACCTCTCAGGCGAAACCTACGAACGCCTCTGCAACCCCTGTATTTGGAGCTATGCCGATGTTTACTAAAACTGGATCAGAGATGACTACCAGTACCAGTACACCTTTGTTTGGAGAGTCCACAACTGCTACAAATGTATTTGGATCAACTGCTAAGCCAACTAACTCTGTATTCGGGGGCTCGTCCACTTCGTTTTCATTTGACTTGAATTTCGGCTCTACCGAGTCACCATTAGAAGTCACCAATTCTGCTACCACCAACATCTTCGACACAAAAGTCACATCGTCGGAGAATGAGCCTCACGACGGCGGCGGTGTTAGCTTCTTCACATCATCTAAGGCGTCCTTTTCAGACTTAGCAGCGTATGCTTCTGAACAAGCGTTTAAGAAAGGTACTTTGAGCATTCAAGTTAGATGAGGCTCTGGATTTTATAATATTTTAAAAATATGTAATGTGTTCTGTGTAGTTTTCTAAATTATGTCTAAAAAAAATTATTTACTTATACGCATTTACATTAGCAGATCCGAACTTCTCTTTCGCTGGTGCCGGAGCAACTGTGTTTGGTTCCAAATCTACAAACAAATCTGAAAAGGCGAAGGAGACAAAGGATGAAAGGAAACTTGAGAATGAGGAGGAAGAAGATGATGAAAATGACAACGAGCAAGAACACGATCCTCACTTTGAGCCTATTGTGCCGTTGCCTGATGTTATTGAGGTGCGCACCGGAGAAGAAGATGAGGAAAAAGGTACAACAGTTTCTAACAAGTGCACTGTGAATATTTATGCATTTAGGGCACGTAGAATATTTTATTTATTTTGTTGATATATGTTACAGTGTTTTGCGAAAGAGCAAAATTATTCCGATATGACAATACAACACATGAATGGAAAGAAAGGGGTGTTGGAGAGATGAAAATCTTGCACCACGCAACACGCAGGACTTATAGATTATTATTACGCAGAGAACAAGTTCACAAAGTAGTATGCAATTTCCTACTCACACCGGACATCAACTTCACCAAATTGAAAACGTCAGACCGTGCCTGGGTGTGGGGGGGAATGAATTATGCAGAGGAGACAGCATGTGCAGAACAGTTAGCAGTTAAATTTAACAATACCGAACTGGCTACAAAGTTCAAGGACAAAATCGACAAAATCCAACAAACGCTAACTGAAATCCGTAAGGAATAAAGACGCAAAACCTATTGTTCACAAAGCTTTCCTCGGTTTGTGGTATTATTGCTTTTGGCTGCATGATGCATCCGACGCTGTGTTACGTGTTTTCAAAAGCATATTTTCATCGATCGTTGAATAATGATAAATATAGCTTTATTTTCACATATAGGATGTACTATTGTTTAAGAGCATTTTAATGCTTGATCGTTTAATTCACATATGTTAGTTACAAGGGACGATCAGTTATTTTTCTTTTATTTTACGGAAAGTACCAGGTTTTATGTGAAAGAGTGTTTTTGATCGATGTCGTCAATTTTTAAATTGATTGTGATATATGATCGTGATATTTATTCATAATATGAAAATGTACAAAATTGTTTTACCGAATCTTTTTGTTAATTTCATATGTCACTTCTTTTCCTATCAGAAAAGATGCAGAAAAGGCATGTAATAGGACAAGATACAATATTATAAGTAAAATTTTTTACCGTGTCGATTACCATTGTAATGCTAAATTCGGTTATAGGAAACAAGTTGTACGAGTACGTATTTTTTATGCAGAACGCTCAAATAAAATCTGATTCAATAAAATAACATTCACACAATTTTTTTTCTTATTAATTAATATATCAATGTGTCGTGATGCTATACCATACGTATTAAAATATATCTACGTATAACTTGTAAATCGTAAGGCATAAGAATAACACAAAAATAACAAGTAAGCTTTTATCAATTTTTGCTCGAGTCATGTATCTTCATTTGATTCAATTGATTCGGTATATCTGCACACGTAATTTCAACATTGTTCCTATAAATCTAGGTGAAAAGGCTGCAGAAGAAGATGGTCCACTGATCGAGGAACCAGATGATGAAGAAAATGAAGAATTAGATGACATAGAGGAAGTGGAAGAGGAGGAAGACGACGAAGAGAACGAAGACCAGAATGTAGTAATCTTTATGCAGAAAGCTACCTTCTTTAAGTTAACAAACAGAGATACTGAATGGGAGGATTTAGGTGCAGGGAATATATTTCTTTCTTATAATCCTAATGATATGACTGGAAGAATAATATTAAAAGCCGACGAGACTGATGAAATTGTCAGCAATACGACTCTCACTGCAAAAACTCAGATGAAGGTAAGAATATTATTATATTTTTACGGAGCACGACAAAATTTATGGTAGAATTTTGATATCCAAATACCTAGTTTACTTATAATGATACTGATTATTTTTCCGTTTCCTTAAGGTACATGGTAAAGAATGCATTTGGACCTCAGACCCACTCGAAAGATACGCTGTGAAAGCAGTGTTTCTAACGATTTGGGACTCTGCAGAAATGTACAAATCTTTTTCATACTATTTAAGTCTATTATATAAATAATCTGCAACTGGGTGCAGAATCCGCAAAACAAAGTCGGCATCATCGAACCATTCGACAGAGTAAAGATTCCTTGTAAGATTTCTTGTAATAAAGCGTATGTATCTCTTGTATACGTAAAATATTTGATTTTAGTTTAAATTCGATTAATAAATGTTGGATTTTTTTCGATTTCATCCGCTATTGCGGATGTACTTAAGTAATTAATGGTCGTACAAACTATTTAAGAATTTACGAATGGAAAACAAACGAATTTTGTATTGACTCAGATGCGTTTTACTCCTAAGATTTACGTAATAATAGGTGAAAACATTGATGAAATAAATTAACTTGTGCCAAACGTGCCGGTCTTTTATTAGTTTATGAAATAGTTTTGATAACAAGATATGACGTTTTGATTTTTCGTTTAGTTATGAACATTTTATTTAGTTTTTAAAAATGAAATAAGTTTTGTTATAATTGTTGAGCGGACTCCGTAATAAAGAAGACTTTGAAGAGAAGACATCGCGGATGCTTAGATAGCTCAACAATACTGAATACTGAGCGATCAACCTGTGATAAAAACCTAGTAATTCAAGGATATGTGGAAGACATTTACATATGATTATATAGTACATTTATATATCATAACGTTGTGAATGTATAATTATATAGATAATAAGTAATCTTTAAGTTATGATTTTATTTTTTGTATTGTTTAATTTCTGATATTTCCAAAATAGGAGACGTATTATATGCGTTACACAAAAATAAACTATGTTTCATCCAAAAAAAGTAAATAAAGGACTTTATTCAATAATGTGTTTGTGTTTTTCATTGTTGACCTTGAACGAATATGCAGATTTGGAACAATTCGGACTTATCTCTATCTGGACTTAGTTGTTATACACGTAACATCATTTCGTTATATCATTGAAATGTGAAACTCATGCTCTGTCGTTGTAAACAGTTACAACTACAACGTCAGTGGAGTCGAGTACATACAGTATTCGATACTAGCTTAATTTTGTGAGTAACTGTATGTATGTACTCCCCTGCCCCTTTATCAGATAACTATATATATACATATTGTACACATTTATATAAAACGTGCAGTTTTGAATTCAGTCGACACTGGCCGACACGTCAACGAGAATTGTTATTCTACAGGAAAACCTAGTGGACTTTAGACTTCGTTCGAATTTCACTGTTACAGATATATTTTGTTAACAAGATGTCTGTTGTAACAAAAGGTATGTATAATTCTACTTGATTGCCTTTTTATTTTACCGTATTTATTTGGCATATCTACATTAATTTCTAAGTATATTAGACTTTTCTCCGAAGTTAAAGTAGGTAGTAATTGAAAAACAATAGACAATGAAAGAAGTAAAACAAAACACAACTTATCTGGTTTCAATTGTCATAAAGTACATCTTTTAAAATTGGTAAATTAATATTATCAATATAACAAACACTTTGTCGACAAATATAATTATGATAACCTATTTACATATTAACAAATTTAGTGCTTCTGTGATTTCAAGGATCCCTTTCTTTATCTTAAGATAACGCCTTTATTTTTTAATATTGGAAACTTTTTTTCGACCTTTGAGCTTTGTCAGTGGTTCTCATTCAATAAATATGATGTAGAAAAAGCTCTAATTATTAATCATAAAATATTTGAAAATGTACATGTTAGATATGATAATATAGCACTTTTAACAATGATATTTATATACTTTCTTTTATAGGAATTTTTATTGTAGCTGCAAAACGCACCCCATTTGGTACAATGGGTGGTGTGTTTACAAATAAGAGTGCAACAGAATTATCAGTTGTTGCCGCAACATCTGCTTTACAGTCTGCAAAATTGAAGCCTGAGAAAGTTGACAGTGTTGTATTTGGTCATGTATTAAGTGTATGTACATCATTTTTAAGTATATAAATTTTAAATAAGCAATTCAAAGTTTGTTACACTTTGTGCATAATTATCTTATTTTATAGTCATCATCCAGTGATGGAGGTTTCTTAGCAAGACATACAGCTTTGAAATCTGGAATTCCTATAGAAAAACCAGCCTTTGCAATTAACAGATTATGTGGTTCTGGATTTCAGTCAATAGTGTGTGGTGCACAGGTATATATATTTTCTGACTGTGCTATTAGAGAAATAATAAAGTATATTCCTAAATATATTGATAACTTTCAGAGTATTCTAACAGGAGAGTCTAGAGTGGTTCTAACTGGAGGTGCAGATAACATGAGCCAAGCACCTTTTATTGTGAGGAATATTCGCTTTGGTACAATGTTGGGACAGAAATATGAATTTGAAGATTCCCTGTGGCTTGGGTTACTAGATACTTATTGTAATTTACCTATGGGGATGACTGCAGAGAAGCTTGGAGCCCAGTATGATTTAAAAAGAGAAGAAGTAGATCAATTTGCACTGAGAAGTCAACAAACATGGAAAGCTGGTTACTATCTATATATTTATTATATTATCTACTGTGATTTATAATGTTAATAGAAAATTCTTAATATTTCAGCTAATGATGCCGGTCGTTTTAAGGAGGAAATGGCACCTGTAACAGTCAAAGTTAAGAAGCAGGATGTCGACGTTAACACGGATGAGCATCCACGCCCTCAAACGACTCCTGAAAGCCTAGCTAAGTTGTCTCCTGTTTTCCAGAAGAATGGTTTGGTTACAGCCGGCACAGCATCAGTATGTTAAATACTATACACGGTGTTTAACCCTCTAACAGCGTATCGTGTAACAGTCAACTGAACAGTGGACTCAGGGTCCCATCGACCCCATATAATGAACATGTTTTAGTTTACTGTTTTGTGACTGAAATATGTAAGGGAGGTAAACGAGGGAGGGGATAACTCAAGACACCCGACTGTTTGTAAACATGGGTTCGAATGGACCCTGAGTCTGTCCAGTAAGGGTCAAGTTGCAGTTCTACATGCTATTATTTTAGACACTCATTAAATGCTTGTTATAGGGTATTTGTGATGGCGCAGGAGCTGTCATCTTAGCTAGTGAAGAAGCTGTCAAAGCGGAAGGACTCAAGCCATTGGGACGTTTAGTAGGCTATACGGTTGTAGGTGTAGATCCTAGCATTATGGGAATTGGGCCTGCGCCAGCTATCAAACAGCTTCTTAAGATCACTAACAAAACGCTGGACGATATGGAACTCGTTGAAGTAATAACTATAAAATATGCTTTTCATGTTCATTCATCAGCCTACAATGAAACGGTAATTAACTTATATTTATTAATAGATCAACGAAGCTTTTGCAGCTCAAACACTAGCCTGTGCTAAAGACCTAAACTTAGACATTAACAAATTAAATGTGGACGGTGGTGCTATTGCTCTGGGACATCCACTGGCTGCATCTGGCAGCAGAATTACTGCACATTTGGTGCACGAGCTCAGGTACATTTATATGCAACAATACATCTCATAATTTATAAAACCAATTGTAAATTGATTGTAAATTGTGTTTATAGGAGAAGGAAGACTGGAAAATTAGGAATTGGTTCCGCATGTATTGGCGGAGGTCAAGGAATTGCTATAATGGTGGAGGCCCTCTAATAAAAAGAATTGAACCGAGAAGTACGGATTGTGCAATAGAAGCGATTCAACTTGATGAGAAAATGTAGTGTGAAAGACGTGTTTAGATTTTATATTTTTGATACACATAAGAAGTACATTAAACAAGTATATCGCTATATTTTATATATGAAATGTTAAAAAGAATGTAATGTTACTAATTTTTATAAAAATATATGCCCTTTTAATAACTTTCTAAAGGAAGGTTTTTATTGTAAGCAACAGAATCAAGTGCTCGTCGATGTTTGTAAGACTGTAAAAATGGAATAGGACATGCGCAGAATCTGTAAAGTCATATGATCACATTTAGAAACGCTTGAAACGCGTTGAGTAGAATACTTACGCGAACAAAATTTTGTAAGGACAAATCCATGATGTTTCCAACAGATAGTATGAGGGGTCGTTGAGATCTGGTCATTATAATTTGTATAGCTTGCTTGAAGTTCTCGGTTTTCTGCCACCATCTGTTCGTGTACGCGGCGAGACTGATCTCTAAGCTCTGCGAAGGTAGTGTTTTAGTAGAATCGCATCGCTTTTTGCAAAGCGCCAATTAGCGTTGATTACGTACATGAAGATATAGCTCGTTACCGTGCCAACAAAATATAAAAACCTGATACGTCATGCAGCACACGTACATCAACATCCCGAAGAGAACATGCGGAATATAAACTTTCATCTGCAACAGATACAGAATACACTTGCAGAGTTTAAACAATGAGCAATACAATTTATAATATATACCTGTGCTATGTTGAAAGCTATTAAATAGATAATGTTACAATTCACTAGGAATTGAAAGAATATCGCGGTGCCAAAAATATTCTGCACCTCTTTCGAAAACCTGCAAACGTTAAATAATTGTACTGTAGTGCAATCTAATAATTCACTTAGATACTTACTCAAATATCATATTGCTGTGATCAACACAGATCTTTAAATCATTATACTGTTTGTTACAAGTTTGCTCAACAGGCTTTTTAATATTATTTCTGCTTTCTATAGAAATTAATTGCTTATCTTCGTTGTTCAGTGAAGCAATATTGCGATTCAGAATAGTTAATTGGCAACAGGCAATTGTGATAAGGCCTGTTACCAGAGTATCAATCGCTATATTGTTGAAGCAGCAAATAAAGATTGTTACTGCTTGATAAAGTGCCGTAATCTCAAAAGCTGGCGATGCTGTTGTATTATAGGGATACCAGCCCAATAAGGGTAGCTTCTTAGATCTTTCACTGAGCAGATCAATCACCGGTGTAGCTCCCCAAGAAACAACAGCCATAGTCCCAAAGAATTGATACATAATGTGATGAAAAATACCTTGCCAAGTATAATGCGTTACAATCCGTTCGTATTTTAAATTGTCCCGGCTGAACAATTCGCTGCTCGTCATGCCGACGAGGCGCTGAATACGCTTATGTCGTCGAAGAATAAAAATGATCTATCCGTGTATCGAAAGAATTAATCCAATGGTTCAAATGAAATTGGATAACAAGAAATTGATTGGGCTACTTGAATAAAAGGGACAAAAAATATGATGTGCGATGGCCGGGAATCGAACCCGGATCAACTGCTTGGAAGGCAACTATGCTAACCATTACACCACCATCGCACGGTGATGATGTTGTTCTATTTCAGACATAATTGGATTTGAAACGGAAAATCTTGCGAACTATGCATCCTTAATTACAAAATAAGCTCAGCACGACAATTTCTGAAAATATTCGATTATTCCCTAAAAACATGAAATCATGAATCTTTTTTGCTTCACGATTCCTTTTACTGCAGAAAATATTCATAGACGATACAAATTTATAAGAAGTGACTAAAACTTCGTGTTCCATTTTACTACATAATTTTTAATTTAAAATCTTTGTCATGAGTTTCAGAACTGTAAAAGTCTAGGAGTTTATTATTAAAATTGGTTTCTAGAAAATGACGATCATCAGCAAGATTCGATAATTTTCTATACCTTTGAGAGAGGAATCCTACTTCGACCCGATTCAAATCCTACTCGGAACTTCGAAGTCCCATTTTCTAAAACCGACGTACTGCCATCTGACTAATTATCTTGTACAAACCTTAGAAGCGTGGCTAGCATTAGTCATGAGTAGAGTCGCGCCTGCAATAACTTCTTCGATATTATTCCGTTCCACGATAATATGCGCGATTTCCGTAGTAAGGAAGATGCCCAATAAAAGGCTGAAACTGCAAACCGTGTACGCGAAATATAAATATCGGTATCTGCCATGAGTCGGCCACATTCCCATGTAATAAATCATCGACAGACTGATATGTAAATGCTTATTCGGCGAGATGTGTCTCCGTTTCGTTCGATCCACTGCGGACACATCCATCGTTGTATGAAAATCGCTTTCTATCGCTTTACTAAGAAATTCTCTGATGATAGAACAGTCGAGCACGCGTTTCGTGTATGTTAAGTATTGGGATAGCCTATCGTTTCCGCATAGGGTTGCAGGACTTCAATTAGGAAACACGAAGATCACAGAACGGTCTTCCGGTGATCTACAATTGCGCTGTTTCCGTGCGTTTACATTTAATCGAGTGATATATATATATAATGAATACGTTTACAGTGCATCTGTTTCCGATCACAGGGAAGACGAATGAATGCTTGATGACGAATCGATACGAAATAAGTGGAAACACGGTTTCAGTATCACACACAAATTCTGCGGGATCGGATGTCGTGGTTCTCGATCTCGGAAATTTTATTTGCCAACTACACAAACATCGTATTAACTATCAAGTGGATTTTACCAATAGGTTGAAAATTACAATGACGAATGTCTGACGAACGAATTCTTTCCAGCAAAATTGCGTTAAGTTTTCTGGTCGACTAAACGTAAAGTGTCCTAAAGAGAACTCTAAATGAACATTGAAACGGAATAGGCGACACGATAAAATACATCTCGCAGTCGCTTATTCTTACGTAACGTTTCAACAATTTCTTTAATGGATTCGAATGATTCGTTGAGAGATTGAACTCGCTCGATCTGGTTTCACGTATCGGTAACAATCTGTCGATGTAATATGCTATCTATAAACTGATCCATTATCGCGATTTACTAATTGATAGAGCATCATTGAGTAATACAATATAACAAACGGAATAATATATACGGTATAATATAATATACGGAATAATAATACGGTATAATATAACAAACGGAATAATATATACGGTATAATATACGGTATAATATATACGGTATAATATAATATACGGAATAATAATACGGTATAATATAACAAACGGAAGCTTGTTTCTCCCTGTAACAGTGTACAATTCTTACATTTGTTGCGATAAATGAAGAGTTTGAAATTCAGAGAAATGGGATCTTATATACACATGATGTACTAACATGACATCGGTGTTTAAAAATAATTTACAATAATGGAGAAAGCTGGGGAAGTAGTCAATGACTATCATGATCGGGCCTCGGGCCTTCCTGGTGAGAGACAACTATTGGAATGACTGAGAGTCTGCGAACAAGATTGGGAAATAGCGAGTGCGAGTAGAGAATATTGGTCGCTCTTGCTTTCGCTACTTCCCAATCTTGCTTCCTCGCTCCCGCTCATTCTGCCTGGAAGACCTGACCTGATAATCGCTTATCACCAGTGGTGGTCTGGAATGTGCTGCAGAGCAGTGCCCGGAGAGGGGACCGGAATGCGCTTCTAACGCTGCTGTTGGAAATTGTCATTGCGTTCCATTAACATCACCCAATCCCGCTTATTCCCACCATCAATCTGCAACGGCGCTGCTTATCAGGGCTTTCGAAGCTCGAGATAGTGGGGGGATGACCTTTATTCCAGTCAACGGTAGCCTGTTAGTCACTCGCCAACGGTAACTCGAAGTAAGTTGCTTCAGTTACGTACCTGCTCAACTGCGTAGATTCTAATATTACCGAGAAGACATGGCAACCACCGCGATGCTTAGCAGAGACGTGGCCGACATCGAGGCAAGCTCTCACTCGAATTCGCGCAGCTCACTCGCGGCTCTAATTCTTATTTCATCTCTATTTTATACATTTCATTTTCTCTTCTGTTTCCCCACAGAATCTTCTGAGGCTGAACCCGAAGGCAAAACCGTTCGCGAATTTGGTCCCCTCGGCCCAGACAAAGGAGAATAAGAAGAAGTGGAAGAGGAACGTCAACGAAAAATGCAGCGTAAACATTTCTTGCTCGTTTATTTCTTTTTCCCCCCATGGAAAACTATATTCCTGATTCTCCGCCGCGATCGCCGCTTTTGTTGCGGCAGATTAAATATTTGTGGTTTCTTATAAGGGACACTATCGTCAGATTTGATAAGAGCCCGATAATCAATTTTTATCAGAACTGTCCACCGTTGACGAAGAACTTCGACGACATCAAGCACACCACGCTGAGCGAACGCGGCGCGTTGAAGGAAGCCGCGCGATGCCTGAAATGCACCGATGCACCCTGCCAGAAGTCCTGCCCCACGCAACTGGACATCAAGTCCTTCATCACCTCCATATCCAACAAGAATTACTATGGAGCAGCGAAGGCGATTCTTTCGGACAATCCCCTAGGATTGACCTGCGGCATGGTTTGCCCTACAAGCGACCTCTGCGTGGGCGGCTGTAACCTGCACGCGTCCGAGGAGGGCCCCATCAACATCGGCGGCCTTCAGCAATTTGCTACCGATGTAAGAAGCAACGCAGACAGCCAATCTTGGTCACCACCTCACCTAAACTCGCCTTTACCCGTAGATCTTCAAACAAATGAGCATACCCCAAACGCGGATCCCGGGACAGAAGGTCGCGCATGCAGACACAAAGATTGCATTGCTGGGCTGCGGTCCGGCTTCGTTGTCTTGCGCTACATTCCTCGCCCGATTAGGCTACGACGACATCACGATCTTCGAGAAGGAGTGTTACATCGGTGGCCTTAGCTCTTCAGAGATTCCGCAGTATCGGTTGCCGTACGAGGTCGTCAACTTCGAGGTCGACCTCGTGAAGGATCTAGGCGTGAAGATCGAGCTGGGCAGAGCTCTCTCTGAGAGCGATCTAACGATACAGGTAGTCGTTTCCTTCTCTAACAGCAGGAGATTTCGAGCAATGATCTTTATAGAACGAAAATCATTACAGGGTCTTCAAGATGACGGGTACAAAGCCATCTTCCTGGGAATTGGACTTCCCGAAGCAAAAACCATCCCGATTTTCGCGGACCTCACCGCAGAAATGGGATTCTTCACGTCGAAGAGCTTCCTGCCGAAGGTGGCGGAGGGTAGCAAGCCTGGACTGTGTCAATGTAAAAGTAAAAAGTTGCCTTCTCTTCATGGCAACGTTGTGGTTCTCGGTGCCGGCGATACGGCATTCGATTGCGCCACTTCCGCGCTGCGATGCGGCGCCAGGAAAGTCTACGTTGTGTTCAGGAAGGGGTTCACGAACGTGCGAGCTGTTCCTGAAGAGGTGATGATCGTTCTATGCATTGGCAACCCTCGGACGGCTGTTGTATTCGCTTACAGATACTTTTCAGATCGATATCAATGAAAACACATCTTAGGAGAGTGTCCAAATAATTTAGAAATTAGAGCATACACGCTCGCCTTCCGAGGATTCGAAGTACTTTTCCTGATGTTTTACTCATATTCCTCTTTACTCAGCTCGAATTAGCGAAGCTAGAGAAATGCGAGTTCATTCCCTTCCAATCTCCGAGGAAAGTGATCACTCGCAGCGGGAAGATAGTTGCGATAGAGTTCTGTCGAACAGAGGAAACTGAGAACGGCGAGTGGGTGGAGGACGAGGATCAGGTGTGCAGGTTGAAAGCAGACTTCGTCGTGTCGGCTTTCGGATCGGGACTGCAGGATTCCGGTGGTAAAGACAATAACTCAAGTATTGCACGTAGTCCTGAAAGAAGTGGCAAGGAGAACGTTTTTCAGTGATGAAGGCGATGGCACCGGTTAAACTGAACAAGTGGAACCTACCGGAAGTCGACCGAGAGAACACGAGGACTTCTGTTCCAGGAGTCTTCTGCGGTGGAGACCTCGCAGGCGTTGCAAACACCACCGTGGAATCCGTGAACGATGGAAAGACGGCAGCTTGGTACATTCACAAGTTCATCCAGGTTATTGTTTTTTCAAGCCCTAGAATATTGTTGAAATGCACCGAACCGTAGGTCTCTTCGTTTCCCTGTATAGAATTCCCACAATCTGGATGTGCCCGAGAATCCTCAACTGCCCAAGTTTCACACCCCGATCGACGATGTTGACCTGTCGGTCGAGTCTTGCGGCATGAAGTTCGAGAACCCTTTCGGCCTTGCTTCTGCGCCACCTTGCACCTCCAGCGCCATGATCAGGCGAGCTTTTGAAGCTGGTTGGGGTTTCACCGTCACGAAGACATTCGCTTTGGACCAGGTACACATTAGGAAACTATATAATTTTCTTAAAGAAACAAGTTCAACGATGTAATTTTCAGGATCTTGTCACGAACGTATCGCCGAGAATAATCAAGGGCACAACCTCTCGCCACCATTATGGTCCCGAGCAAGGCAGCTTCCTGAACATCGAACTGATATCCGAAAAGACGGCAGCTTACTGGTGCCAGAGCATTACAGAGCTAAAAAAGGACTTCCCGACCAAGGTCCGGAATTGACGTACAATTGTTCTCGACCAAGGGCTACCGTCGGTGTTAATTAAACCCTGTTTATTTTTAGATCGTCATAGCTAGCATCATGTGCACCTACAACAGAGCACACTGGACGGAGCTCGCTCAGAAGGCTGAAGCTGCAGGATCGGACGCTTTGGAATTGAATCTGTCTTGCCCGCACGGAATGGGAGAGTCTGGTATGGGACTGGCTTGCGGACAGGTTACTATAATCTTCATCAATTTCATTCCCGTCCTAGTAATCGTGACTGCAGCTACCCTTACATTTTAGGATCCCGAATTGGTGAGGAATATCTCAAGATGGGTACGAGATGCTGTGAAGATACCGTTCTTCGTCAAACTAACTCCAAACATAACCGACATAGTCTCTATCGCGAAAGCAGCCTACGAAGGCAAGCCCAAGCAATCTATGCAGTCTAAAACAGCCTTCCTAGTTTTAGCTAATCCTCTTCTAGTCTAGAATTCTATGCTAATTAAACACTTTCTATCAGGCCACGCTGACGGAGTGTCCGCTATAAACACGGTGTCTGGTCTAATGGGTCTGAATGCTGATGGCATCCCTTGGCCAGCCGTTGGCGTCCATAAAGCTACCACTTACGGGGGCATGTCGGGAAACTCGACGAGACCTCAAGCTTTGAGAGCAGTGTCTAGCATCGCTCAGAATCTTCCCGGGTTTCCCATACTCGGCATCGGTGGTATAGATTCCGCGGACGTTGCTCTTCAGTTCCTCCATTGCGGTGCCTCGGTCCTCCAGGTGAATCAATCATCCATCTAATCTCCGTGCAAGTTATCTCTCATTTGGGGCATCGATTTGACGGTATCGATTCTCGAACTAGGTCTGCAGCGCTATACAAAATCAAGATTTCACCTTGATCGACGATTATGTGACTGGTTTGCAAACATTGCTGTACCTGAAGAGTCTGGGACAAGTGAAAGACTGGGACGGACAGAGTCCGGCGACATTTAAACACCAAAAAGGAAAACCAGTTTCTCTGCAGCATGCCCTCGGCAAGGTAATAATTCCTTTCACTTTTTTGGAAGGTGAAAACACATTCGCAACTATCAGACTGATCTGCAGAATGTCTTAGTATTTATGGCGTAGTGAAAATAATTCCACAGTGGAGAATGAAATAACAATGTTGAATAAAATTCGCGTCCACGGGATACTTTAGTTTTTGGAAAACGAAGTTTCCAACTTCATTCATTATGCTGCATTGGTTTCTGCAAGTAATAACGGCAACCATGATCAGAGCCGATTCCTAATCAGTAACATGCGTGTCTCATTGATGATTGTACATACTATGTGAATACAGGGATAATTTTTATATCAATTCATCAAATATTCGAGAAAATCAGAAAAAATATATATTGTTGTTATACTTCTATGTTTCATTGTACAAGAACGTGGGAGGAAATTCGCATTACTTATTGTACAAGTTAGTATTTTCTAATTTCGACTGAAATTAAAATCATTATAATATTCGATCTACGTTTCAGAATGTGCCTTACTTCGGGGAGTACCAAAAGCTTCGCGAGCAAAAGATCGCCGAGATCAAAGCGAATTCGAATCCTCTAGATCGACCTGTCGCGATCACAAGACCGGCCCCGAATCCAATTGCACCTATACCGTCTCTGAAAGACGTGATTGGTAAAGCTGTGAGCCGCATCGGATCGTTCAAACAGTTGGACACCAAACATCAAGTGGTCGCATTGATAGACGATGTATGTCCCGATGAGATTACGCTATTTTGATCTCCGTTCTTCTTCGCTAAGACCAGCTATTTTGTTTTTGGCAGGATATGTGTATAAATTGTGGGAAATGTTACATGGCTTGCGCCGATTCCGGCTATCAAGCGATTCATTTCGATCCAGACACTCACATTCCGAAAGTGACCGACGACTGCACTGGCTGCACTCTGTGTCTCTCAGTATGTCCCATCATCGATTGCATAACGTAAGTCTCCTGCTCTGGTTTATGCAATGGATTGTCGAGCACGACTGCTCAGAGATCTCCTTGCAATGAGTTCTATTTACAGGATGGTTCCTAAAACGATACCTCACGTGATCAAACGGGGAATACCGCCGAAGGGCGCATTCGAAATTCCAATTTAAGAAGAGCATGCTTCCTGATGTTGGTGGATTAACAGATACAGGTAACAGTTGGTGATTTAACATCGTACAAATTACTCTGTAATCTTTATTGTTATATAATACTAACTATTGTATAACTGTATACCTAAGAATATTAAATTACTTTGAACGTTATTACATATTACACGCCGTTATTTTACGGGCGAGTTTTACCTGATACACGAATTAATTTAAATTCTTAAATAAAGTCTGGACTATCGAACCACTGGTATTCTGGGAATTTGTCAGTGTCCAACTTGTACTGCAGGCACTTGTCGTGTATGAGCCGCCGTCTGAAATAAATATCCTTTGAAATGCTAACTTTTTGAGAATGATATGTGTGGCGAGGCGCGTTACCTTGAATATTTTTCGCAATCAGAGATGGGATAGTCCAGTTTGAAGCATTGTGGCCTTAAGATGTTGAAATAGGTGGTTCCGATATCCGCGGATATTATAGATGCGGCTTTCTTCAGGCAGTTATAAAACTCCTCGTCGCAATAGCAGGCCGATCTATGCGTGACATAAATATATAGTACGTGTATAATATAAACGTGTATAAATAATAATACTAATAATAATACTAAATAATAATACTTGTCGCTATACAGCGGATTTTCAGTTACCCTAAAATAGTATGAAATTTTAAAGCAATTAAATATTATCGTCTAGGCATTCCTAGAGTATTCTAATTATTTTACAGTTTTAAACATTGTCTACTCATTTTTGTCGTAAACTCGTGAAATTCGCTGTGTACTTATCCTTATACATTGACTGTCACATCGAGTGAAGTTGTGCTTAGCTACTTATATCTAAAATCAATTTGCATAATAATTTGTTTTAACACTACTAAGTGACAAAAGTTAAACATGATTGCACGTGTTGTAACTTAAGTGATATTAATTAGATCACTTTGATATTGCGGCATCTTTCGAGGCCACGGTCAGACAGTCGCCGTATATTATTGTTACGAAATAGGATTTCTCAATACCTTGTGAAAATACCATTGTTTTTTAGGCCATAATTCTCTGCCCCCGCTTCAATGCCCTCGGGGCAGGTGTCGTGAGCCCTGCAACACGCGTCCGTTTCATTAAAACGGCCAAGATCTCTCTCATTCTCTGCTATGTCACCGTCGCCGCACCAATATGTTCCTAAAGTTACATCCATCATGGGTTTGATATAAATTTCAACGCTGGCGTCGTACAAATAAGAATCTAAACCGCGGACCTTGATGCGCAGTTAAAATTGCCGTTGCCCGTATCAATGGCGACCGCGAAATCACAGAGACGAAAAAAAGCAGAATATGTGATTAGAAAAAGGCAAAAAACTAATCTTTCTAACAATCACGGCGCATTTGATACAGTTGGAAACGTTTTGTAAGTTATCTACACACGTTTATAGTGAACGCATAAAAGCCGCAATCTAAGAATGATTAACGTTTGCTTCAAATAACTATTTCCCGATTCTCCGACTCGTAATTATATAAATTACAACGGTGCATCCGTCGACAAACGGAAAATCAAAGAATATCTTGCACGAGATCTCGGAAAACGCATTCTCATTGAATTTTTCTCAAGAAGTTAGTCACGTACCTGGAAATATCAGCTTAATTCTGTCCTTGTACGGATTTAAAACATTAGAGATGGTACTGGTACTGTTATGGACGCTTTTTGATATGGTGTTTAATATTGGGACATGTTTGATGACCTTCCCGATCTTTTGCCCAGATTTTATGATCGTTATTGCTGTTTTTTCGAGAGTGCTTATGTAAGTGATTCTAAGCTGGTCCGAATCATCGCATCTTCCGCAACCGAGAATGAAGAGCATCGAGAAGAGCAGTAAATAGGTGGACATCGTTGCACTGATGAATTAAAAACAAATTATTAACACTTTATCTACCACCGATGACTTAATAATAATCATTTAAAAGCCACAGATCGACCTTTCAGCAGCAACAACTCAAGTTTCAATAGCTAACTAGTTAGGGGAGAGATGTACATAAATAAATACATATTTATTTTATGTAATATTCTTCTTAGGCTACTATTTGTACTTCAATTTCACCGATATTCTGATACGATGGTTTCTTATTTTCAGGTAACTAAATGATTTTGTTGTTTCAAGAACTATTCCTTTTAGGAATCACATTTTTCAAATTTGTTTTTGACATTGACTTGTTCGATTTACAGGCACTGCACGACTCTTTTCTAATACGTTTTCGATAGGAAACGTGTTGTGTTAATCCCGTTTACGAGTATATACCTGATTGCTTTGATGGCTCCGATAGTGTGTGTTCTCGAGCGAACCGACAACTGAACATTCCATCACCGTCTCACGAACTTTTATTTGCCGGCTTACGGTGGAAAGCGTACGAAACGACAGTAGTTGATTATTAATAAGTTGCTAGTAAGTGGAATTTTAATAATTGAGATACATTGTTCAAGGTGTTACGTCTCTCGGAAAGTAAATCTGGCGTATGATGTGGCAGATCGTAAATCACGCGCATGAGGTCAGAAAAAATCCATTAAAAATTATGAAACATGACTCAGTTTTATTTTACAAAACAATTGCCATAAACTTGTATTGCAGATAAGGCAATAATGTTGAGATTATAATCTGTTTAGATAGTCCTGAAGGACATCAACTTCGCAAAATTATAAACACGGTTCAACAAGAATGTCATATTTACATTGTGTTGTTCAGAAGTTCGCATGTATCCGACAGTATAGCTATTTAGCATTACAAATGTCTGATACGTAATTAGCTGGACTATAATGCAGTGCATTTACTCCGATGATCTATGTTTTTCTTTGAAAAACTGTATGTTCTTCTTTATGTTCTTCTACTGCCTGGTATCTCTAGGAGATTCCTCATTTTTTAAAGTTTGTTGGTCTTGCATGGTGCGACGACTATGAATTCTTGTGCATCGTGGACAGGAATGATTTCGTTTTGACCAGCAAACGCGATGGTGAACAGCTGCGCATTGATGGCAAATGATGGAACTTGCGTCCCACGGGTATATAATTTCATCATTGCCGCATAACTCGCAGAGATGACCCCTACACAAATAGGTAGAGTTTAGCACATCTTGTAAAGGAAGATCATCAACTTAGAATATTCGAGAATTGTGGAAGTAATTGTAAAGTGAATTATAGCTTCTTAATACTTTATATACCGCGATCTGAATAATCGAATTATTTACGCCAGCGCTTGTCGCGACCAAAAATCTATTGTTAAGTGTTAATTCTGATTAATTACCGTGCTTTGCACAATTCGCACTGTTCCGTAATATGAGCGTGCATAGTGTCGTACGTGGCTCGAACCTCTTCCAGAAGAATCCCATTATTAAGATCAATTAGATCCTTGATAGAATAGTTGTTCGAGTTTTCAATCATGTGTGTACGTTTCCCAATTTTCCATGGTAAACCTTGGTTGTTCGCGTCCGGGCACAGAACCAAGTAGTGCTTCATCAGTTGCATTTCCTCCCGGAATTTCTATTGACAATGAATTTTGTTACTTATTGCCCGTTACTTAGCTTTCTGTTCTCAGATATATCCCTTACCTTTACTAAAGATAAGTCTGGAAGCAAAGTGAATAATTTTGGATTTAATTCCTCCAGGGGTAGAACAGGTCGATCTTCTAACAATGTTAATAATTGGGATGCGACGCGAGATACTAGACGCGGTTCCATGTCCCAATTTCTGATTACTCTTGCAGGTATTACCATTACGGTGTTCCAATGACACCTTTGACAGTAATACAATCCGCTGTAGTCACAAAGTCGTGGTTCTACCCATGATGAGTCTACATATGTAAATAATATACTATAATTTTTATTGTACAATATTATAGTTTAATTAGTAGTAACTAAATATTCAAAACAAAATTCGTAAATAAAGCATCTACAAAAATTCATTTTTATCTATTGTCTTATGTTTACCTGAACCCTTGAGTGGACTGCCAAAACAAGATAAGGATAATCCCTTCGAGAAAGCTTGTAATGGAAACATTATTTAATCATGTGATAAAAAAGTATCTTGTGTGTGAACAAGTTATAAAGTGAATCATCAACAAATAAGGAAAATTGCTTCAACATTGTCAACATTGCTTTCTCAAGAAATATTCAATCTAGAAAACTCCATTTCTTACTGATACTTACTGAATGTTATTTTCACTTTGCATTCTGCGCATCGATAGCCTTGGCTTGCCAGTCCTTGTTCAGGGCAAATATCTTTTGTGTAAGTATATCCACCTGCTTCACTGGCAACAACATGCACACAGACTCTGCATATGTTGCTTAAACATTTCCAGTGACAACAAAATTTGCAATCTGCACAAAGACAATTTGCAAAGGAATTTGGTACAGGCTTGACATCAAAATGGAAACTTGGACGTCTATTCCATGTAACAAAAGAATTTTACCATTACACATGTACCATGATTGAAGCATAGTCCAAATTGTTCCACTACAATGATCACAGTATACAGGTCCATAAGTTGTTATATAGTATTTCTGTGGTACTAAATGATGTCCTAAAATTACTCGAGTCTGCAGTGAATTCTCCTCTGATGCTTCTCTTAATTCTTGCACTCTCAAACGTAATTCAATCAAGCGCCTAACAAGCCATTTTCTTTCGTCGGAGCATTCTGCACTTTCCAATACCATTTGTTTACATTTTTGCACCATTTCTTTGAGATCTTCTTCACATACTGACTGATAAATAACAAAGTGCACAAAAATGTAAGTAATAAATTTTGCTTGAAAGTATGTGTAAAAAGTGATTTAGTACCTTTGATAGTGACAGTATAGTTTCTACAGACTTTAGACTGAATGGAATGGCAGCTTTACTATCCGAACTGTCATCTGCTTCTCCTGTCATGTAATCAGACGACGATGACGGTGTTGATGGTACTGTTCCAGTACTGTCACTTCGTACCCTTGGCTCATGATTAATATCTTGTGCGTCGTTTATAACAGTTTTAACATCTATCATTTTAGAAAAAGCTTACAGATTATTGTGATCCTTCGAATTTTAGAATATTTTATTCTTGACGACGATAAGAATCCTGAACATATGTAAAAAGAACTGTCAATTTATACTATCATTGTATATACTTTTGCTTTTAACAAATGTCTACTAAATAGACTACCTTTTTGTCTATGATATTACCATCCTCTACTAAGTAAGCACACATAAGTCTAATAAAGTAAATATTACTCACTTTGTATCCATCGTGACGCCATCTGTGGCAAAACGATGAAACTGCTAGCCAATTGCCAACCTGCGCGTAGGTACATTCTCAAAAACTGTGCGGATAGAAACAAGTATGTATCACTAAAATAAGTATATGTATTAGAAACCAGTCAAGAATCTATTCTAACATATGTTTATTTTATATCGAATATGCGTTTTATATACAGGGTGTTCCACAATTATTTTAACAGCCGAAAATGAGGGCTAGCTGAGGTCATTTGAAGTAACTTTTCCCTTTGCAGTAATGTAAGATGGTTCTAAATAATTTAAGATCAAAATTTTTACGCATAGCTCGAATTANTGCTCCGGCTGCAGATAAGCCACTTTGCTTGTAGACCTGACATTTCAACCGTCAGCGTTTCCGTCATCCCTATCGATTAATTTTGCAGGGAAAATGTGACAGGAGCGACCAGCGAGGATTTCGATAACGATCAGACATTACGGTCGGTCGGTGCCGTATGTATTATTGCATAGAACGGTGAACACGTCGCGCACGTCCGCGGAGATGCTGAAAAAGAGAATTAATTTACATGTCATTGGGCGCTTTATCGCGGTTATGGCCATGGGAAACGATCACACTTTACGCAGACGAAATATATTCATATTGCTCGCGTCGCGACTGTAACAACGTTGAGCGCGCGGCACGTTAAAACGCTCACGTTTAACCGCTTTTAATGTTGCACTTTCTCTACACGGTTCGCCATTAAAACGGTATCTTGATGGTCAGGTGAATTCAGTGTTATTAGGAGCATGCTTCTTTCTTCGAATCGATTGCTTTCTCTTCTTTGTGGGAAAGTTCCCCACGCAGAGATACGAGATAGACTCTAATCGAATTACAACCGTGGCTAAAGTGCAGATAACCAGCGGAATACTGAACGACCGGAAATTTACTTTACTTCTCCTACGATACTCGCCGATGGACTGGGGATTTTATGCATTTGAGCGAGACAGAAGAAAACTAGGAACACTGTTGCGTCATTTTTATTTACCAAAGTCCGTAAGGAAATTCTGGTTTCTGTAAATTGCTTCAAGAAATTCCGATTTTGCGGGAAAAATCTAAATTTTACTTATAAAAATTGAAATATTATTCAAGTTTTGCACGTACAGCGAAATCTTTGCATCAAGAATAAAAATAGCACATAGCTTCCAGTGAAGTTCTCTTTTGTCAACAAGATTACGTATCTGTTAGCATGCTGTAAAGCTCGTTGAAGAGGCGATCATCGAGCTGCAGAAGTCGATTTAATATCAAAGACGGCAAGGTTGGTTGCGTCGGATGATAGAAGTCAGCGAAACGACGCGACGCGCGACGTCACGCAGAGCCATTCGTCACGTAACGTACACTCTCTGTGTACGTCCCTGGAGCAAGCTATTCTCTCGTTATTTGTTCAAAGCCAATAGCTGGCATCGCTACTGTGCGGAGTTGAATTTCCATGTCCCTCTAAAAGGTGACTCGCGTAACATTCCGATTGCAAGCTGTAAAGTTCCAGCGACCAGTGTCCCATAACTGTTTTCGCTCGTTAACAGGCGTACTCCCTTTTGCTCTTTAAACGATTGTCACGCAGGGGGATTGAAAAATAGTAGTATTTGCACTCTGCCGAGAGCCACCGGTTTTGGTAGCGCTGTATTGCCCCCTAGTTAACCGTGCGCGTTTTGTTATTCGATTCTCTTCATTATTCTTTGAATATTTTACGACCGGCTGCTAAAACAAACCTGAAACAGTTCGACCAGTGCATTTTGTTTAATGCGAACTCTGAAAATGTTAACGACGAGGACAATCGTCGCTCATCGCCTCGCTGTCTACACTGTAAAATCCCGCGGAACGAGTTTTCGAGTGATACAAGTCATTTTATCATTCATTTTCTGTGTGCTCAATGCTGGATAGTTTAATTGATTCGATTAATAATAATAATAATAGAAATCAACATAAAACGTAATCGATCTTTATTACTCTATGGCTTCGACGAAACCGAACATAAGTATCTAATCAAATTAGGTCGTCCCGTCTTATCGAGATCATAACTATACAGGGTGTACCACAATTATTTTAACAGCCGAAAATGAGGGCTAGCTGAGGTCATTTGAAGTAACTTTTCCCTTTGCAGTAATGTAAGATGGTTCTAAATAATTTAAGATCAAAATTTTTACGCATAGCTCGAATTATTGTATTAGCTTTATATTTTTGTTCAGTTTTTTAAATTTTGGTCTGCCGTAATGCGTTGACATGTGGTTAAACATTAAGGCGTTGTAATCCTCATTCTGATTTTATACAATTTTGATGTTTTATTTAGAGTTATCTGCTGTTCTTTTAAAAATATGAATTTAATTGCTCAAATTATCTGTTATCAAACATTTTTCCAGATCTCAGTGATATTATTCTTCTATCTACTAAACTTCCAAAATACATTTGAGTATATTCTGATATTATAAAGTTCATTTATTTTAATATTTTATGAATATTCCCAATTATGTTGTAGCATAAAGTGTAAGATGTACTTACGTATCCTTGGTTATTGAATAACACTGTAAATTGTAATTAGGAAATGCAAAATAAAAAATGATAAATTTGATGAAATTTGATATATTTATTACTACGGAGTTTAGTTGCTCCTTGAATTTTCGTATCATTAAATTCTTTTCTTCTAGTATATATAAATATATATATTTACATGTTAAAATGAATGATTTAATCCTAAATATATAGAACAAAGCGTCCCAGTATTCCAAATGATCTGAACAGAATGCAGAGGAATCTAAATCTAAAGGGACAGGGTTGAATGAACAGATTGCGAAGCAAAGGATCTTTTACCGTTCATTTTTATTAACTTGCAAAATTACCTTACTCGTCTACTCATGCACAGATAAAATATATAAATAAAAATGTAGGTAAATGGTGAACGTGAGTTTATTAATCGAGACTGCGAAAGCATGCGTGTTTAATTTCAAGCCACGAACTTCGACATCTCGGGATGCGAGCATGGTGTCCATTGAAAAATCCTCGTTTTCCTTGTTCTTCCCGTTTTTTTTCCCGTTGGAAATACATACGCGGAGGAGACACGCGAAAATCGTGGCGCGGACACGCTCGACTCGTTTCGTCACGTAACAGATCGCTAGAACAGTGATAAACCTATCATAGAGTAATGAATAAATATAACAATCGAAAAAACATGGCCAAATGCAATGACGAATAACCAGACACGTTCTTTCCTCGTCCCGTCGTCACGACGTCGAGTCGTCGATGCCAAAAAACGAATGCGTGAACAACGCGTTACGACGAGAACTTCTACGAAGAGATATGCACATATACATATATGCACATAGAGATATATATACATATACGTATTTATATAGTAAAAAAAAATATCGTAACGAACTATATAAAAGATACGATTGTAAAGTGTTAATAGTTTTACATCTTTGGATAGTCAACAAAAGCGACCTCGCACGCGGATCGCCGCGTTACAAAAAAGAAAATTGAAATTCACGAAGTCCGATTCTGCACGATATACTCTCCCATCAGAACCGATTAATAAGATCCTCTTCCTTATCGGATGATCGATACGCCGACATAAAAGCAGCACGTGGGTTTCGTTGTAGGCTTCGATGCTTGGTAAACATCGGTCCTCGATAAACGATTCAAACGAGCGATTTATAAAACAACAGCTGGGCTCATGCAATCAACTAAACAGGTACGCAAACAGCAACAAGAACAATACCGGTCTCAGTGTTTGCCAAGCATCGATCCGGAGCACCGTCTTGGATCCAATATTTCGTTTTGGAACATCAATCGCTTATGACAATTAGAGATTTACTTTATCTAAGAATTCAAATTGTCTAAGTGTCTACATTATAATTTTCTAGCAATTAATTTAAACTATTGCGTATTTTTTTCTAGACCCAATATGAAGGCGTTGACAAAAAAAATAAGTCGAAAAGTATTTAAAAGAAAATTAATGGGATTATTCTTTCAACGAATCTAGTCATGGCCATTATGTTCCAGAACGAAATACATATAACGACAAGGAAGTTTCGCTCGCGATTCATCGTCGTTAATCAACAAACACGAAACAGATATCTAAACTAAGCCCCCCAGTCTCGTGGTCATTTTTTACGTGAATTATAGCACACATTTCGACTAGAGTAATATCATATACGCAGTTTAAAAATGAAATCTCGAAGACGAAAGTAATATGTATATATATGTGTGTGTATGTGTATGTATATATATACAGGGATTCCAGCAGTCTTGGCGGCTCAAAACAGGTCAATCAGATATAATGATTCGTACCGCGGCAGTTATCCGAATGCAGTGCACACTCTTACAGACCGGAAATAACGGTCGTCGTTCGAGCGAATTCATTATTTAATATAACAACAAGACATAGAATTCACGCAGAAATAAAATCTCACGAGCAATCAATTTAACAGTAACAATCAAGGGCTTGCCACGAGATGCTTCTTTAAATGAATAAGAGTACCAACACCCGTGATTAATTCAAGTTCAATCGTTGAGTCGAACCGCGTTTAAAAGTCCTTTGCAGTGGAACATCACGGTGTTCCCATAATAGCGAGAAAGTAATATAAAATCGGTAGATCCATTTGGAAACAAGATTTTCCGTAATTGTCTTATTCAAGATTGAACATTCAAGAGTACGCATACGAAACCTTTTATCGACTCGCTGAAGTAAATACGAAAAAAGAGAATTTAACAAACTATTTTGGATATGTTTCCTCTGTTACAAAACAACATTAACGCAACTTACAAAAGACTTCATCGGTCGGATCTGTTCTAATATTTAACGCTGCAACTACCGAGTGGTCAAAATTAAATGTGTATTTGAACAAATCAACTTCTCGCAGTAATTTCCATAAAATAAGCTTCAGGATTTCAGTAATTGCTAAATAAGAGACCGCAAATTAGATTTACTAGTAGTTCTAGTGTCCATAAAATCCGGCATCCTGCTATTCAAGGGAATCTCAAGGGAAAAACCCCTAATTTCGTAACACGAATTTGAAACAAAACAGAGCGCTTGGCAATTCCCCGATCTTTCCTCTCTTCTCGTACATCTTCGCTCTTCGGACAACGGAACACGTTGCATCTTTGGCTTGTTTATCGTAAACGTTACCCGTTTCCAGGCCCGCAGAAATGAAATGGCGAAAGCTCGCGAAATACATAGTTTGCATCATCAGAAAAAGAAGACACTCGCGTACGAGTAGTGCCTACAAGGTCTCCACAATCACAATAAAATCAATTGGCCATTCAGGTATTACTTGAAGTAAAAATAATTTCAGAGATTTGCTCTGAAATATAAGGGTATACCACTGAACCAATTTCGTGTTTAATTATGGTACTCGACCTGATTTCATTAACGCTCTAAAGTAGTCAATTGAATTTATCTCGATCGTGGACGAATACTTTGACTCTGTACGATCCTCTCATCAGTTTCACGCAATACGGTCGCGGTGTAATACTATGGTTTACAAGACGATTACAGAGGGCAAGAGATTCCCTGATATCTTCGATTAGTATTGCTTCCGACTGCAGCAGCTGCACACCCCTGAGTCCTCTTCCTTCCCTCTCTGTCTTCCAAGAAACTGTATATACTGTGTCTCACGGAGATTCATTCTTCGTTTCCTCTAAAAAATAACATCCTTTGGGCTAGAAAAAGGTACGCGTGCGAATACACGGAAGACAGAGAGGGTTCTCCTCCGGAGGAGGGTATCCCTCATAGTTCACGATAAAATTATGGCGTGCTGGGAGAACGGCTGCAACAATCGGAGGCGTCACGTCTCAAAGTGGTTCTTACGTTAAGTAAAAATAAGGGTCCGGTGATTTGCTGTCTATTTACAACGTGAAGTACACAGCACGTACAGATTGAACATCGTGTACAGGATTGAACAACGACACTTATCACACGAGTCGTGACGGCCTGGTTTCTTCGTCCGTTTTTAGCTGCAGATCGATTCGGTGACGATGAACTCTCCCCGGATTTAGCAGAGGATCACTGAACGCTTCCAGAGCGACCTATCTTTAGATATGCTCCTTGTCACATTGCGAACACTCAGAATCCATCTCGAGCGTCTCCGGTACTTTTGTACTTAGTCACGGTAACTTCAAAGATCACCGAATTGATCCGATACAATACAGTCCACGGATCCAGGAATCCTCTCACGGTCACTGACAACCCCCATTACTTGGAGAATAATTATGTGTCTCGTCTACGTTCTTTCAACATTTGTAGCAAATACTATTCAAGACTCTAATCTCTTTTTCGCTGAATCTTGATCATTTATCTTTGACTGAACGTCTTGATCTGCTACTTGCAATCTCAAGCTACTTCCTCCTTAAAGGGGAATTATTTTCCTTCCTTTTTCAAGGACTTCTCTTTCATTTTTTCACTGGATTACTGTGATCATTTATCCACTAATAAACTTCTTTGTGTCTTTCAAAGTGTTTGCTCTTTCTTCAAACTAATCTTTCCTTCAGAAGGGACTGTTTCTACTTCCTTTAAGTTCCTTGTGTCATCAAAGGAGAATCAGTTGTCGCTCTCGGCGTAGTCGTCGCTATCTCCGCTATCATAGTACTGATTCCTTGACTGATGAATGGAGTCTTGCGGATTGGCCGTCGACTGATCGTCGAGGTAGCCCTGGTGCTCAGTATTCTGAAGCAGATCCACCGATTCTCCATCCATATTTTGAGCGAACACGTCTTCCGACATGGAATCATAAGACCTGTGAATCGACAAAAGCGTTTTAATATGAATGAATCTTTTCATTGGTTTTATTTCAGCTCTTTATGGACCAAGCTGCTTTTTATTGGACTATAGACGAGTTACTCTACAATTAAAAATATTTGGCAACTTATTCTTCAACGAATTACGGTTCCGTGCAAGGATGAATAATGTTTAGAACGTCGGAGACTATTTGTTGAGTCATTTTGTGCAGTTGAACCATACTTTGTTGAAACTAACGACTTGCAGCAACGAAAAGGATAAAAATGGAAGCGAAGGAAGATGATGGTCGGTATTCCTTTGAAAGTTCACAACTCTCGGACTTGTGAAAACATTGAACAAATCAATTGACGAGTTTCCGGTGTCCGAGGGGTTGAAGATCAATTTTCAAATTCCACTTCCGTCCATCGGGAAAGTGCTATATAGAAGAGAAGTTGGGCCGATTCTTGTAAAATGAAAAATTCGTACGGTTTGATAGCAATTGCGCGATCAGTCTTCTCCAAAGGAAGTTAATAAACATATCCGCGGGCAAAGAAAATAAATTGAAACGAAGATTAAGAAGCAGTTAGCTGACTCTCTATCGATGCATTACGCATTCACGTGCACCATACCATGCATTTCTGTTTTCTTTACTTACTGAGCTGCAGATGATGGTTACATTTCATCATCACACAGCCTGCAACAAACGCATAGATCGCCACATTGTCATTACGGTCGTAGTACAAGGTGAAATTGTTAGATCCCGCGGGAATGGGGGCTCAAAAATACTGTTCTATCTAAACGGCAAAGCATGCCAGAAATTCAAGAAGCTATGAGTTTCGTTTCATAGTTCGGGTTAAGCAAGAAACTCCCTACGGTGAATCGGTTCATCTATCGTTCATCAACACTTCTCATCCTTTCCCTTTTAGCCTTTCCTTAGCGATTTGAAATTGATCATTGGAACAATGTTTGACGGATGGATGAAGATAGATGATGTCACGAGATTAAGGAAATGCATAGATGAACCGTGATTATCGTCTCGTGCGATGCAACACTGGTACTCACTTCTGCTCGTTTTGTTCGTTACCACTCTCCTCTGCTACCAACATCTCATACTCTTCAGCTGCGAATCGGTCCCAGTCTGACAGCTGTTTATCAAGAAATGGCGCCAATGAATTATCGAAAAATCAATAGTAAATTTAATAATGAACTAGAAAATGTTTTCATTCCCACCTCGTGGCCATCGGGGTCGTGCTCCCTCGCAGACGCGAACGGATCCCGCTGTTCGTGATCCAGATACTTCTCGAGGTTGAAGAAGGTGTCGAAGAATATCGAGGTCATCTTGCACCTCTTCAAGTCGCTTAATGATATTTTCCCCGGCGTCGCTGGTTTGATCATGTCCAACATCTACGCCAAATACACGAAACCGTGCAATCACAAGTGGAATACGATAGACGAATTCAATAATTACCTGACAGAGACAATCCTCGAACGGCAATGTCTCCAATCCGATCGCCTCCATGCGATGCAACTGCTCGTCGTAGAAGTATTCTAATTCGTACATCGACAAGTAGCCGTCGCCGTCGAGATCCATGCATCTATCAACGATCACAGATGTGAACTAGTCACTTAAAATTTAAAGATTTTGGTTACGGTAATTTTAGAATCGAATAGTCTACCTGAACCAATATTCGATTGCGGTGGGATGGTTCTTGTCCTCCTCGCTAAGCAAGAACCACACAAATTCAGTATAACTCATCTTGTCCTGGGGTTGCTGCACACCGTTCGCACTCTTCACGCCTCCTCTAGTCACCGCACCGCTGAATATTCTTGCGATCATGCGCTTCGATAGAGCTGCGACGTACAATTAACAATATTCTAATCGAAGACAATTTATTGCTTTGCAAACAGTATTAAAAGACCCTGGAATTATCGGTTTACGTCTTTTAAGAACTGTCGAGTAACTATAAGTAAAATAAGAGCCAAGGCAATGTTGATTCAGAAATTCATAGAGGAGTCTGTTCTTACCGTGATCGTTATGCTTGGTGAGATCCTTCTTGTCGATGAACAGGTCGTGATCTCGATCAAGCTCCCAGAACTTGCAGTAAATGACATAGAAGTGTTCGTAGCTGAAGTATGCGGTGACTAGATTGATGTCCTCCTTGTGCTCGAGGATTGCAATCACCGATAACAAGTTGCTCCTCCTCAGTTCCGCCACGGAAATCCTTCCGCTCCAGCTTCGATTCACGCAGTAGAATATCCTGGCGATCACCTGGAGGATCCATAAAAATCACATTGACAATTATAATCTTCGGGTATTGGACGCGTTCCGGGTTCAAAGAGAATGAGACTGGCGTAAGCAAACACGGCAGCCGGCTACTGCGAGGGAAACAAATACAAATATTAGTCTCCCTAGATATCCTAGACTTTGCTTTATTAGATGCATCAGGTAATCCACTATAGTCGGCCATGCAAGCTGTACCTTGCGAAGATTTAATATCTTAGCTACCTGTGTTGATGGACGGTCTCATGCTACCTTTATCTTTTGCTACTTTCCCGAACAAACAATTCCAGTTTCATTATGAAAATCTTTGTTGGTGGGCACGAGTGGATCGTTGGTTTTACGCTAATAACTTTTTTTAGTGACTTCCATGGTTCACCGCCGCGTATCAGTAAAATCGAAAGGTCATAATACCATGGTGTTATAAAAATAGCCTCTGCTGACTACAGAATATCATACTATTGTTCTTTATAAAGTGTACTTTAATGTAGCCTGTTTCTTCTGACAGAAGAAGTTTTTCATTCTCTTTGAAGCATAGCATCGCATTAAAACAAGTTAAGCAACTTAAAAGGATTTCAAAACCCTTGGGACTGCAACTTTTATGTATTTATGAGCGCAACAAATATAAATGAGCAAAAGTATCAGAAATATTAAAGGATACTATTACATTCCTCTAAACATACCGCTATTAATCAAAGAGGAAATTGATCTCTCTTCAACTTCTGCTTCTCACAATTTTGATCTTGCATGCAAATCTGATAATATCTGAACAGTTACAAATCGCCTAAAATCAGCAGCTCCGGATTGAATAGAAGTTTAACAAACGTTCACAATAAAATTACGTCGAAGCAAGAAAAACATGGACATTTCTAAGCAAAACATCGGAACAAATCGAATCGCCTGGGGATCGTCTTCTCGCCGGAGGATCCAGCACGCGTTAATTGCCGGCGGCGATCGTCTTGAATAATTCAAGACGCCAATTTCTCGTTGCGTAAATCACGACTGCGTCTCCGACGGTATTTTTCCTTCTGTTTCCCCGCGTTTCACCGGCTTGCTCGTGTCTCTCTCGCCTGGCAAATATTTATCGGACGGGCACGAACCGTGTGTACGTAGCGTGAATGGAACTCAGTAGCCTCTTTCAGGAAAATTAAACCGGGATGGGTCTCGACCAGGTCCTGCACCAGCGGGATCAGATCTTCGGGCAGTATGCTGTTCCTCTGGCCCCGGGTTGTGATTCTGATAAACTTGCTCGCCGCGTCGTGGTGGGTGTTCGACATTCTGTAAAACGATACAGCGATTTATTCTCGGCCTCCCGCTCGACTTCATTCAATTGTTCGCAGCTTAAGCCCTTTTAGGCCCCTGCCGTTTTATCGAACCGCTCGGGTAACCCCGTCAAGGACGATTTTCGAGTTGGCCGAAGCTAGCGTAGAATATTAAACATTTTATCGTGCTAGTTTAATGAAAGAAGAGCTAAAATCGAGATTTATCGCCACTATTTTCTCGTCTCTGCGTTTCCGCGAATTTGAAACTGATTTTAACCGCCTTGCACTGCGATTTCTTTCAGAACCGCGTTGATTATTAGCACTTATTCGTTCTTAATAATTTCTGTTATGGATCTCTACGATTTTTGTTTCTCGTATATCTTCATTTTCTTTCTTTGGTTTGATTTAGAAAAACTGAATAACATTCATATTTAGTAGAACTTCATCGCGGGTCTGACACGTTTTTATGGTGTAAAGTGTTAACGGAGATTAGAAATGAAAGATTGAAAGCTATCTGAACTGAAAAAATGTCAGTGTCTCTAGGAGAAAAGAGAGTGTGCAGATAGTGACGATTAAGATATACAGAGGAGCTAGCATAAGTGTCCTTGGATATGCTAATATCTCTATTACACCATATAGAAGAACGGTACGGGAAAGCAATAAATTCCGGTAAAAATGGTGGAAGTAATTTATGAGTCGGTTGGATAGATAGAATGGGAGACACGATGGTTCTCCAAGGTCCCTCCGCCTCGAATCTCGTCCGCCTCTCTGCCCTTGCCTTTTATCGTAAATCCACGGAAAAAATCCGAACAAGGCGGGGCCACGATAGAGCACGGGCTGAAAGACTATAACTCGTCTCTGTTGTTTTCATGAATATTATTACGTACTCTTTCCAGAAATCAAGGAAGGCGTTCATCTCGACGTAGCCGGTCTGGTCGCCCCCTGCCGCCAGGAAGAGCGGCACTTTCCAATAAAGAGGCAGATCGCATGCCTGCAATCAGAGATCGTTGCTAATTAGATTTACGTTATTCATCCATTCATCAGAAAATACCTATGGATAATTGATGTCGTTGGCTTAAGATTGTCGAGATTCAATCCTTAGTTGTACCGTGGTTATACAACCCCCAAAGGTCTTTGAACCTTCAACCATGCTTTTATATAACAGACTGTTGATTTTACGCATTTCTGAGAACGAGTTGATCAAACGCAAAATAGTGAAAGCATCCAAGGAATGAAAAAATACTATTGCATTATTTCTGTTAAGATCGTCAACAACAGAAATAAATGTGTTTATTTTGCAGAAAAATTCGCAGTCCAATTTATTACTGTTATTATGCGTTTATACTGATTTACAACAAAAACGAGTTGATCAAATATAAAACAATAAAAATATTTCCGATTCTCGCCTGTGTCTTGCATTTAGTGCAGACAACTTTTATTTCGCACAATTCGCAAGCTAGTTATTATGTAATACCAGTCGTAAAGATTATCAGCATTTTCGCCGACCTTTTGTACATATCTATTTCTAAAATATTGATTTTATATCCATTACAGAAAAAGTTGGGAAAACAATCGAGAAACGGTGATTGAACTCGGAAGATAATTTAAAAATAACATTTCGAAAAGTATTACTTATTTAGGGAAACAATGCAAGGCAATTTGGAAGCGTTGTTATGAGTTCATGGAGTTTGAAAGTAAAGAAAATCAGATAATTAGAGAGAACGAGATTATGCTCCACGTTGGAAAACAATGTTCCAGAAAATGGCAAATGAAACAGAGGATGCTGGACTAGGTTTGGTCGGGGTTTGTTGGTTTTCTTACCTTCGTGATCGTGTGAAATTGAGCGCGAGAGGCGCGATGGCCCGGCAGCGACTGGAATGCCGCGGTAATTTTGGCGATGGCAGCCTCCACTTGCGACAATGGCAGCGGCTTTCCCCCGGGGAAATAAAATCTGCAAGGTAAAGGCGAGTTCGTGATCAGCATTGCGCTTTGCTCAACGATCAGCTTTTCGAACGGCCAACCAACGATTTCCGAGAAACTATATTGTCTCATCTTCTATTCGAGGTAAATGCGAGCAGTTTTAGGGAGCCACCTTCCATTTCAATTATCACGAAATATGTTGCCGAAGTTTCTTAATGTTTTTAGATATTCCTGAATAGCTGTTGCTATGCATCAACATGAATAAGCAAAGATTATGTATCAACATGATACAGTAAATGACTCTAGTCGGTCTAGATACGGGTGTAATACTGTGGAAATATTTCCAAGTATAGTCGAAAATAATTTTTATCATTATTTAGAATTCATCTTTAAAAAGACATTTGGATTTTCTGAACGATTTGATGACTTTTTTCGAGATAGCGACTATTACTGTATTCTATTAATGAAAATATAAACGAATAAAGCAGCATTAATATTATAATCTTTTCGCTTTGAACCTAATTCAGATATAAGCCAGATATAATCCAGACTTAATATTATAAAACTGAGTAAAATAGCAATAACATTATTAATGAAAAATATAAACGAATAAAGCAGCATTAATGTTATAATCTTCTCGCTTTGAACCTAATTCAGATATAAGCCAGATATAATCCAGACTTAATATTATAAAACTGAGTAAAATAGCAATAACATTATTAATGAAAAATATAAACGAATAAAGCAGCATTAATGTTATAATCTTCTCGCTTTGAACCTAATTCAGATATAAGCCAGATATAATCCAGACTTAATATTCTAAAACTGAGTAAAATAGCAATAACATTATTAATGAAAATATAAACGAATAAAGCAGCATTAATATTATAATCTTCTCGCTTTGAACCTAATTCAGATATAAGCCAAATATAATCCCGACTTAATTCTAAAACTGAACAAAATAGCAATAACATAATAATGTGTTTCCGTTACCGATTCGTGTAATGTAAATCTGAGGCATTCGCTAGATCTGGGTAAGAAGTAGCAAAGTTGCAAAGTTGCAAAGCCAAGGAAAAATAAATGACGAGGTTCTGCTGTATTTGCAGTGTAGTTGGTGGCGTTGATTAACTACCAACTGCAAATTGGATCTAGTCCAGTAACGTATCCAACACGAATAGAAATAATAATCGTGTAGCGTGGTTTCCAACCCTCTCGAAACAAGATCCTTTCGGTCCCTCAATGCGCGGCTTTCAATGAAAATAGTGAAAGGGGGTTGAAGTATACATTTACCTCGGTATGTGTACGTTCCTGTTCGCTTTCACGTGCCTCTGTAACGTGGTGTGCGGCGGTAGGTTCTTCTGCTGCGCTTTGTCTTTCGCGTACGTCTGGAACCAACATCAAGAACCGTTCAAGAGAAACTGCATCTGGACTGCACGAGTGCAAACATGCAACGAACACGCGCGACTCAGGACATCCACTCCGATTAACTCGTCAACTGGATAATCTCTCGATCGCGAACGATCTTCGCGGCGGCTATTGAAACGATCATAAAAATAACTCGACGCGTCCGCGACAGGACGATGCAATACCCAAACGTTATAGGCTAATCGAATGCAATCGATTCCTAGAGCTTTCACCGGCTAACAGCGCCGACGGTTTTCTACAACCGTCGGTTATCTGTAATGTTCTGTCATCGGCAGATTGTTGCGTAAGAAAATTCATTGCAAATGCTGGTAATAATCGGGCTGCGGATCTTTCTGTGAGTTTCGTGAGTCGTGAAAGACAGAATCAGCGTTTCGATCGCAGTCTACGAGAAATGTCTATGCACGGATTCTTTAATTCCATAGATACGTTAATTGCACCGTTCGCTCGCGGTACTGATGCATTCCAGTCTGCACTTGCGGAGGAAGACTTCTGACGTGTCATATTTGCCTCGACAGTTCTTCGTTCCATTCTGACAACCCTAATTTAGTAATGTAGAAGTGACATACGTGGGATAGGCAGCTATTGTGATAACAAAATTGCAGAACTTCTAGCGAGCGCGCGTTCTTAACCGATGAATATTAGGTTGGTGCGTATGAGATGTCGGATTTTTAAGTGAATATATAAAACTGCATATCTTTCTTCAAGCTGTTTTCTCAGCTTTTTTCAACAGCTTTCACGAGCTGTTTATTTAATCAAAATATGCTCCATTTGCTTCAATACACTTTTCCCAACGAGATCTTAACGCATAGATGCCTGTCTTAAAGAAACTTCGATCTTTAGAATCAATAAACTCTGATGTGGTATTTTTCAGACTGTTTTCATTTTCATACTGTTTAGTCCGTAAAAACTGTTCTAAATGTTTAAAAAAATGAAAGTCGGTTGGCGAAAGATCCGGCGAAAATTTCGTATTTTATTTCGTTTAAGTTTGCAATTGTTTTTTACGACGTATGCGGCCGAGCGTTGCTATGCCGATTAACAAGTAATGGGCGCGCATAATTTTCAATTTTTCATGCATTTCATCAATGTACATACTGGCAGTACTTTTCGACTGTAATTGTCTCCCTAGTTCGAAGGAATGAGTAGTGAATTACTCCAATGCTTTCAGAGCATCATTTTTCACAGACGTTTTGAATCTTCCACGCGGTTCATTTTATAGGAAAAAATCACCAGACCGATCGTTAATAGTATGTATTCTCCCCAAATGTCTGGTTTATATTGCGTGCAGCTTTTACAGCATTATTACCAGGTTTATACTCATATAAAAAAAATACACGAATATCGGTTGGATTCGTATCCTTGCGAAATTCAAAACAAATAACAAACTGGAACACTTTTGAGAAAATCTTCTGTGCTGAAATGTGAATCTGGACAGTACGACCATAAACGAGATTATGCCAAAAATAAAAGCATAACGAAAACAGGGAGACAAACGTTCACATGTAAAGAAAATCTAACATTTCGTGTACACCAGCCTAATAAAAAAGTCGTGATACATTGTAGAACTTATGAGACTCGTCGTTGTTATCTCGACATATGTACATTCATTGAAAACATTAAGCGAGGAGCTAAGATAGCTATTCATCTACGAAATTGCAAATGAACAGTATTTATTAAACTTTCGCGAGACATTGTGCATTTGGTCTGAACATCTGTTGTCTGATAAGGATTCAAATCTATTCATCTTGAATTTTCTAACGAAACGGAGATCTTATTTTTTTCAAACTTCCAATGCATTTTCACTATAGGTGCTGAATAAAATAGCTTCGTACTGTACGAATGTCATTCACATTGTGTTACCTGCATTTTACATTATTAATGTAGATGTAATGTAACACTGCATCACTAATGTACATGTAACGCGTATCATTACATTATTGATGTACATATGATGCAAATGTTGCATTTTTTTTACTTGTGTTTACATTACACTCAAATTATAAATTATATAGAGATACGTACAATTTTTTAACGCAACAGATGAAACAACGTGGCTCTCGCGAAACATTCAAAGGTTAATCAATCTGTAAAAATTTGTCTACTGCGTAGAAAACTGTAGTGCGTCAGACCTATTCCTTCGGAAAACAGACTATAAAACCACAAGGTTGCTAATATAACGAGTCTTATCTTATTACACGAGGGACCGTGAATGGTTCTTCATGGTCTCGTCGCAAAGTCGTACAATTTCAACGACGTATGAAGGGGCCAAAAAGGATAAGGATCACGAGGATATTGCATTCGGCAGGATCGGCAGGATCGGCAGGATCGACAGGGCTTTCGTGGAGCGAAGGGACGACCGATCTCGGTGGGTAGCATAATCGAATGGCGAACATAATCGCGGGGCTCTCCTTCGAGGCCGGCGTTCCGCGTTCTAGGTGTCGGCTCGCCAAGGACACGGCATCCTGTTACGCGACGCGGCCGCGAAGGATCCGAAGAATGCAAAGGGGCCGGGCGAGTGCAGCTAATGCATCGCCGCGCCTTGCCCATGTGACTCCGGTTACATCATAAGCTGCCAGCTATACTCGCCGGCCACCGCGAGAAAATCTATCCACGTGTTAATTGTCGCCGATCCGTGCAACGATATCTGGCTAAGCGAAAACGATCTTTGCTCTTGTCACGCGCCGATCGCCTGGTCTATCGTTACAATGCAATGCAGATCGTTATGCATCATAATAGTTTCGCACTATACCTTCTGTTTTTGTGCAAATTGTCTGTATCGATTGCAACAAACAGGAACTAAATAAGAAAAAGTTCTTTCTTTTTTCTTGAATAATTTTTGACACTAAACCTAGCGCGCCGGTCACAATGACTAGGTTCACATGTTTTATTTTAACCCTCTGAGGCACCGTTAAAAATTATTACAGCATTTCTTAAAAGAATTTGAAACGTCATTAAAATGTCAGTCTAATAAATTGTTAAAAGTTTAAGTAAATGTACGAGCAAATGGGATTAATGCCATACGTATAAAGCGCTAGTCGACGCAGTTGCGTATACTAATACTTTAATAAATGCATCGATTCTGTTGTCTATCTGTTTGTAATTATTTCTACATTGTATTAGGCTGCGCTATTCTTGATTTATGTTTATTATGCAATGTACTATTCGGAGACGTGAACGCTGCGCTGTCATTCAGTATCTTATTTGGTCTACCGTGAGTTGCGTTGCTTTTTTTTCGATGCATCGTTATGCATACTGATAAAAGAGCTTGATAATTTCACTGTCCCTTTTTACCTTGCAACTTAACCCTTTGCAGTCGAAGTTATTCGAAATCCAAAACGTGATTTCTGATCTACAGTAATTCTACTTTATATAATTTATTGTGCTTTATGCACATGAAATTGAACCTTCTGGAAAGTACAATGCAATTTTAACAGTTCCCTTTTTTTAATTATAAACGAGTCCGATGCTCTTGCAATGATTATGAAAAATAGTATAGCAATTTTTAGTGGCGACTCAGAGTCGCCTTTCGAGTGTAAAGAGTTAATTAAGAAACGAACCGCGTCCACCTCGATGAAACGGCTCGATGAAAGACTTAAACCGAGCGGTTCTCGCAAGACGCAAGAACAAATGGTAGAATAAGTGCAACACTGGCCGGCCGGAAGTCGAATTCTCGTGGCGACCGAAACGGAGCGGCCCGTGCATACCAATTAATATCGAGTGGTTAAGAGGACAATCCAGGTTCTCCAAGAACGATCGATAAGCGCCGGGATTTTAAGTTGACTCGGAGGGAAGACGCTCTCTGTGTTCGCCTTTCGCCGGTAGACAAAAGACTCTGGGCGTCTCAATCTCGGGGCTTGTCCCTTAAAAGACAGCAATTTCTCGAGAAAGGTGTACACCGTGGAGATGCCTGACGATTCCAATCTCTCTCTTCTTGGTTGCCAGAAACGAGCACGGGAGAACGAACGAACGAGCGAGCGAGCGACAGGAATAGAACCGGATAAAGGCGGGTTCCCGATATTAAGAGGAGAAACGCCAGGCGATAATAAAAATAGCGTCGCGACTACTTCGAGAGCTTCCATTTAGGGAGGAAAATCAATAATGCATTTCATTCTGTCGGCTGCAAAATAAGCCAATGGCCCCGAGGAGCCAGTGACCGGCGAACTCCGAGAAAACCGGGGATCAAGTAGGCGAATCGCTGACCGTCCGCCAATACCGAGAATTATCGAGCTATTGCCGAACGATATCACCGAGAATCTTCTTGCGAATATCGCTGAGAAGTTTGGCTACGAATCGCGATCCGGAAGTCGGTATTAAACGATCCTCAAGTAAAATTAGCAGTAATTTTGCTACATCGATTTTTTCAGGATAGATTTGCCTTCGAAATTTTTAATAAAATAGTTCGTAATTGAAAGATTAATTATTTCTATCCATATAATTAAAAGAAAGATTCCGTCATCGACTAAAAGATCAATCTAAACGGAAGTTATTCCGAGTCACAACTCATGTTAAACGGAAAATAAAAATGCTATTAGACTTTATTAATTTATATGTTCTCTTGCGTTTTAACAATCTGCACATACATGCACAAGGAACCACAATCTAGCGATGAGGCTCGGAGGACAATGGAGAATTTATCGAGCTATAACGATGTGATGAAAGATCTTACAAACATCATTGTGAGTTGAAGTTTGGCTTCGAATCGCGATCCGGAAGCAAATGATCCATCGGTTAAAATTAGGAGTGATAGTTCTACTACAACAATTTTTGCAAAACAGATTTGGCTTTCGAACTTTTAACAAACTAGTTCATAACTGAAATACTAATGTTAGAATTGTTGGTTGCGCGATGAATAGACGGTGGACCCTTGTGTAAATTTGGCTTCACAACTTTTAACAGAACGGTTCAATATTGAAGTTCTAATAGTTTCTCTGAACTGTAGGTAATGTGTTGAGAAGTCAGAGGA